TATAATGTAAAAAGCCTATATATCTTAGAACGCAACATCTTACACATAATTATTAAATAATAGCCTAATTTTCAAAAAACACCATATTTTACCGGGAAGTTATAGTGTAAAAAGCCTATATCTCAAAGAACACAACATCTTACAAGTAAGTTATTAAGTAAATAGCCTAATTTTCAAAAAACCATATCTTACCGGTAAGTTTTAGTGTAAAAAGCCTATAAATCTGAGAAGGCAACATCTGACCCATAATTTATTAAGTGAATAGCCTAATTTTCCAAAAGTATCATATCTTGCCGGTAAGTTATAGTGTAAAAAGCCTATATATCAGAGAACGCAACATCTTACAAGTAATTTATTAAGTAAATAGCCTAATTTCCCAAAAACACCATATCTTACCGATAAGTTATAGTGTAAAAAGCCAATAAATCTGAGAACGCAACATCTTACCCTTAATTTATTAAGTAAATAGCTTAATTTTCCATAAACACCATATCTTGCCGGTATGTTATAGTGTAAAAAGCCAATATATCAAAGAACGCTACATCTTACCCATAACTTATTAAGTACATAGCCTAATTTTCCAAAAACACCATATCTTAACTGTAAGTTATAGTGTAAAAGGCCTATATATCTGAGAACGAAACATTATACCTGTAATTTATTTAGTGAATTGTCTATTTTTCTAAAAACACCATATCTTACCGGTAAGTTATAGTGTAAAGTGCTTATATATCTAAGAACGCAACATCTTACCCGTAATTTATTAAGTAAATAGATTATTTTTCTATAAACACCATATTGTACCGGTAAGTTATAGTGTAAAAAGCCTATATATCTGAGAACGCAACATCTTACCCGTAATTTATTACGTGAATTGCATATTTTTCGGAAAACACCATGTCTTATCGATAAGTTATAATGTAAAGTGCCTATATATCTGAGAAGGCAACATCTTACCCGTAATTTTTTGACTAAATAGCCAATTTTTCTAAAAACACCATATCTTATAGGTAACTTATAGTGTAAAATGCATATATATATATATACGCAACATCTTACCCATAATTTATTGAGTAAAAAGCCTAATTTTCCAAAAACACCATATCTTGCCGGTAAGTTATAGTGTAAAAAGCCTATATATCTAAGAACGCAACATCTTATCTGTAATTTATTCACTAAATACCCTAATTTTCCAAAAACACCATATCTTACCGGTAATTTATAGTGTAAAAAGCCTATATATCAGAGAACGCAACATCTTACAAGTAATTTATTAAGTAAATAGCCTAAGTATCCAAAAACACCATATCTTACTGGTAAGTTATAGTGTAAAAAGCCTACAAATCTGAGAACGCAACATCTTACCCTTAATTTATTAAGTAAATAGCCTAATTTTCCAAAAACACCATATCTTGCCGGTAAGTTATAGGGTAAAAAGACTGTATATCCAAGAACGCAACATCTTACCCGTAATTTTTTAAGTAAATTGCCTAATTTTCAAAAAACAACATATCTTACCGGTAAGTTATAGTGTAAAAAGCCTATATATCTTAGAACGCAACATCTTACACATAATTTATTAAATAATAGCCTAATTTTCAAAAAACACCATATTTTACCGGGAAGTTATAGTGTAAAAAGCCTATATCTCAAAGAATGCAAAAGCCAATACTTTACCAAACATCAAAATTAAGACAATCTGGTGCGCCTCCACTAACGAGCACGCAGTATCGAAGAAACTCTGGCGTATGCATCCCAACTAGGATTTCAAACTTAAAATAATAATTAAAAGATAAAGCTTGAAAAAAAACCAAGCTATAACAATACAAATAAAATGACAGGACTCGCCCCGAATTCCTCGGAATCCGTGACGGATCCTGTGGTATTTTCGACATCCAACCAATACCGGGCCCACTTACTAATTTCAAATGTCCTCTTCCCCTAAAACAAAGGAAAAGAGGGCCGAGACTTGTACCGAAATTTCGGCAGAGTCTCCCTTGAAAAACGGACTTAACCAAATTTTTCAACCTGTCAAAAACACAGTTTAAAATTTCCACACTTCAGCATGCACAGTCTACCCTCCAGGCATAGTCATAAGTAGTTGTAAGGACTCAATCCACAATCATTCATCAATCTAAAATAGGTTTCAGCCCCGACACAATCACAAACACATTATAACCACATCCCTTCAGGCTACCGACAAATTCAAAACCGAACTTAACAAATCTAATAAATAGGATTCGATCCCAATGACCAAATTAGAGTCCAAAAATATATTTTATCTCGCGGTTGCACCTGGGTGAGACCCGGGTTTTTGAAATTGGGTGGGTCAAGTAGAGGAGGAGAGGAAAAGTTTGCAAGTCGTTTCGTCGAAAACGGTGGCCGGACGAAGCCGGATTCAGCGTCGGAAAATGTTGTTGTGCGACGGGGAGGGAGAGAGAGAGAGAGAGAGAGAGAGAGAGAGAGAGAGTCGTGGTAGGAGAAAGAGAGAGAAAAAGAAGCTGACCTGGGTTTTAAAATTCTGACCTTGAAATATTTACAATTGTGCCACTGTGCTTCCGCTGACCGTAACTTCTTCGTTAAAACTGCGATTTGGGCCCACTACGTGTCTATGAACTCGTATCGATGAGCTCTACGCAAGGAAAAAAATGACTTGTCTCCTTTTAGTTTTTTCCAACCTTCGAATGACTTTGGTTGTTTTAGTCAAACGCCCTCATTGTTTTTTTTTTTTTTTTTTCCCGTCAAAGGTGCCTTAGTTGTTCTTTTATTATATTTGTCTTAGTCTTTTTTTTTTTTTTTTTTTTGTGTGGCACAGTTTTATGACAAACTGTGGTCTAGCAAACTAAGACAGAACTGTTTAGCAAATTCTTCGTCTATTACAATTATTGTTATAGCAACAACAAGATTGAGAACTTGAAGATAAATGTACATGTCACTATCACTGGTGGTTTGTTGGTTGGGGATGGTAGAGCAAAAGGAGCCTGTAAATACAATTTTGTGTACCAAAACAAAACTGCATTTTCAGCTAGTTGACACACTAACAACTTGGGGCTTAGAGACTGAATCTTTTTGCAGTCATTACAAGAGAATCTGTGGGTATTCTTTTCTTTTCTTACTGTTATAGGGTACTCAAGTCAGCCTCATTACAGAGAGAAACTGCTCCAACTTACAAATGTGGAGGAGAGGCCGTGGGATGTGTACTGAAATGGGAATAGCCAAAACACCTACTGATGGAAAATAAGCCACTTCTAGCACGCAATGACTCGGGTTTATCCTCAGATTTACTGTGAGGAAAGTGCCTATGAAAGGCATTCAATGCTCCTATCAACCCATCTTCGTCATCTATGGCCTTGGCAATTTCAACAGCACGCCCTTTAACCTTTCTACCGAAAAATAGTTATGTCTTTGTTAATTTAATATATTCATGTCCATACTAGGGATTGAAATAACAAAAAATAACCCCTAGAGTTATGACTAGTATTTGCATGTTAAAATTGATCGAAAAACAATGGCAACTTAAACCAAATCAGTGCGCATGCATGTGTGATAATTTTACGCTCAATATGTAAGTGATAGAGCAAAAGGCCAATAACTTACCGGTAAGTTATAGCGTGAAAAGCCAATATTTAACCATCATGTAAGTGATGGAGTGAAAAGCCTATAACTTACCGGTAAGTTATGGCGTGAAAAGCCAATATTTAATCGTCAGGTAAATGATTGAGCGAAAAGCCTATAACTTACCGGTAAGTTATTGCGTGAAAAGCCGATATTTAATCGACATGTAAATGATGCAGTGAAAAGACTACAACTTACCGGTAAGTTATCGAGTGAAAAGCCAATACTTTACCAAACATCAAAATTAAGACAATCTGGTGCGCCTCCACTAACGAGCACGCAGTATCGAAGAAACTCTGGCGTATGCATCCCAACTAGGATTTCAAACTTAAAATAATAATTAAAAGATAAAGCTTGAAAAAACCAAGCTATAACAATACAAATAAAATGACAGGACTCGCCCCGAATTCCTCGGAATCCGTGACGGATCCTGTGGTATTTTCGACATCCAACCGATACCGGGCCCACTTACTGATTTCAAATGTCCTCTTCCCCTAAAACAAAGGAAAAGAGGGCCGAGACTTGTACCAAAATTTCGGCAGAGTCTCCCTTGAAAAACGGACTTAACCAAATTTTTCAACCTATCAAAAACACAGTTTAAAATTTTCCACACTTCAGCATGCACAGTCTACCCTCCAGGCATAGTCATAAGTAGTTGTAAGGACTCAATCCACAATCATTCATCAATCTAAAATAGGTTTCAGCCCCGACACAATCACAAACACATTATAACCACATCCCTTCAGGCTACCGACAAATTCAAAACCGAACTTAACAAATCTAATAAATAGGATTCGATCCCAATGACCAAATTAAAGTCCAAAATATATTTTATCTTGCGGTTGCACCTGGGTGAGACCCGGGTTTTTGAAATTGGGTGGGTCAAGTAGAGGAGGAGAGGAAAAGTTTGCAAGTCGTTTCGTCGAAAACGGTGGCCGGACGAAGCCGGATTCAGCGTCGAAAAATGTTGTTGTGCAACGAGGAGAGAGAGAGAGAGAGAGAGTCGTGGTAGGAGAAAGAGAGAGAAAAAAAAAGCTGACCTGGGTTTTAAAATTCTGACCTTGAAATATTTACAATTGTGCCACTGTGCTTCCGCTGACCGTAACTTCTTCGTTAAAACTGCGATTTGGGCCCACTACGTGTCTATGAACTCGTATCGATGATCTCTACGCAAGGAAAAAAATGACTTGTCTCCTTTTAGTTTTTTCCAACCTTCGAATGACTTTGGTTGTTTAAGTCAAACGCCCTTAATACCTTGCCTAAAAACACATGACAGATGGCAGAAATGGCCGTGGGTCGGCCTCTACTATCTCCATGTATCCTTCTTCATTCCAAAGGGCTAATTGTTGATGTAGAGTGGAAGGGACACATAAGCTTTGATGAACCTAATCCCTGCCAAGCAGTGCATTATAAGTGGTAGAAGTGGTGTCTACCACAAAGAATGCAATCTTTAATTCTTTGGTTCCAATTATGACATCCACATATAGGATTCCATGAGTCTTGGTGATGCTCCCAGCAAAGTTGGTGACAGTCAAACGTGTTGGAATTAGATCCTTCTCTGTTCTTCCCATCTTACTCAACAATCTGTGGGGTAAAAGATTAATGGCTGCACCTCCATCTACCATCACTTTGGGAATAGGAATACCCCCAAAGTTTGCTGTTATGAACAGAGGTTTGAGGTGATTGGCCATCTCCTTGGTTGGTTTGGAGAAGCAAAGTTGTTCTGTAGCTGGTTTCAGGGCAGTTTCGCCTGTCTTGGCAGTAGGTGTTTGTTGTTCTAGTGCCTCTTCTACTTCTGCCAATCTGCACTCAAAGCTTTCCTGGGAGATAACATCTCCCTCCAATGTGTTTTCTTGCCACTCTGTTGCCCTGAATTCTTCTGGCAAGACAAAGACCATATTGATGCCCAGATCTCCTTGCAACAAGCTTTCCAATTCTGCACCAAAAGCCTCTGTTTCTTCATCTAGTTCTCCATCATACTCCATCTGTTCTTCCCCATATGCTTCTGTCCAATCTTCCTGTTCTTCTGTTTCGAGGAGTCTATTCTGGTCATCTGCAGATGGTTCATAGTCTAGTTGCTCCTCTTCATACTCTTCAGTCCAGTCTTCTTGTTCTTCTACTGGAATAGGTTCGGATTCACCTTGTGCTTGTGAAGGCTCAAACTGATTGACTGAGGATGAGGCAATATGGATAGAGGATCTGCTTGGAGATTTTGCTTTTACTTTTGTGGCTGGCAGGTTGTTCGTTCTGTCTAAGGGAGTACTTTCGGATTCTTCCCTTTTCTGGCATAACTGGTCTCTGGAAGTACCTGTATATCACCCTGGTTTTTGAGGAATGTGCAATACTGCCTTTGAACCCTCATCTTCTGAGTTCTAGTTAACTCCAGAGTTGGTCTACCACTTTTACCCACAAAATACCATATGCCTTCTATGATAGTTGCCAAGGACTTTTCATTCCTAGGCATCTTAATTGGTATTTCCTTCTTGGGCTGCTCCATCTTTCTTCTGCTATGTTGGGCAGGCCTTAGGTAATCCTTCTATCTGGTTCTATCCTTAGATAGGGCCGAAACAGGGGCTTGTTGGTATGATGTTCCAATCCTGTCAAAAACACTAGGTGTGGGTTGATTCTGCTTATCCAGAATTACTTCTAGCTCAGTTTCACACTTGCACTTACTGCAAAGCACTACCCCAGCCGAGATGGTTGCCTTTGGCCTTTGACTAGTCTCCCTCATAACTCTTCTGTCTCTGCTGGAACTAGCTTCTGTCGTTGGTTTGCTTCTCTTCCGTTCTGGCCAATTTAGGTTGACCATGTTGACTTGCAGCTGGGGAAAGGGGTCTGTTATAACTTATGGAGGTTTCTCTGCCAGTTTTAGCCTTCCTGCTGTTATTCCCTCCTATATGACATCCCTGAAAATAACACAACTATTGGTGGAATGGTTCCAAGAGTTGTGCCACATGCAATACTGTCCGCCCTTGAGTTCTTCTGGCTTGGGCAACCTATGGGGGGGTCTCTGTTGCCTTTTGTAGTAGCATTTCATCAAACAAAGCACCCACCTTGGTCAGATCAAAGGAATAGACCTTGTTCTGTGTTGGTTTGTTTGGAACGAACCCTCCTGTGAATGGTGGCGGTCTTTGGTCCTTTGGTGGCTTTGTAAGAGCCTTGCAGTTGATGGGATGTTTCAATTTTGCCATCTCTGCTACTGCAATTTCTCTTTCCTCCGAGCCTTCTATATCTTCTTCTGATTCTACCTCAACCAGATAGACTGAAGAGGAAAGAGTCTTGTAGTACATGCCTTTGGAAGAGTTCCTCTTCTATTGTTCTTCCCTAAGATCTTTATCTGCCAGTTCTGCCAGGTCTCCAAACAACATCCCATCATATCTTTTTCTCAGAGAGATTTTAAGGGCAGCTTGGGCCATTTTGAGTTTTCTGAACCTGGTTATGAAGTCTTGAGCAGGTTCATCTTCACTCTGCTTGAGGGCAGCAAGATCACTGATGGTGACTTTTGGCTGGATCCTAAAATAGTAATCATGGAAAAAATTTTCCATCTATTCCCAAGTTTGAACAGAATTGGCTGGTAGACTAGTGTACCAAGTGAATGCTTGTCCAAAGAGAGAATTTCCAAAAAGCCGTAGCTTTAACAGAGGGTTATTTTCTATGGCTATGCACTAGACAGAAAACCTGCCTATATGCTCAACTGATGAAGCATGGGGGTCCTCTCTGTTGAACAAGGTGAAGTTTGGCACCTTGAAACCCGGGGATAGAGGTATTTAGTCAATATAAGACGGATAAGGCTTTCTGTAGGTGGGCCTCTCTCCTCTTCTGGGTTCAGGCTCTATCATTTCCCTGATCATTCTCTGTAGTGCCCCCATGTCATTTAAAGCATTGACAGGGTGCAGATTTAGTCCCTGTTCTGGCTGCATCTGGTCCATCCTGTATGGGCTGGGTAGAGCTTCCTCCCTATGCTCTTCCTCTTCTTGAAAGTCCGGATGATTCCTCCAGTTTGCCCCCAATCTGTTCCTATCATTGTTGGCAAAAGGGTTGACTCCCCCATGCCTCTTCTGCCTCTTGCTGGTGGAGGGAATGGATTAGGATCCATCCTTCTAGGTCTGTAAGGCAACACAGAAAGGTGCGTCATGCAGAAGTGCCAGAGGCTGATCACGTGGAGCCACAGGTTGTGAAATAGGTGGAGGTTCTGGATGATTTTGTTGGACCTGAACTGGTGCAGGGTCCTCTAGCCAAACTGGACCCTCCTGTTCTTGGATGGGAAGGGCTCCTCCCTTCTGTCCAGCTATCTGTGCAATGAGGGGATTCTCCTGATATGGCCATGCCAATCCTGGTGGAAGACCATAAGAGAGGTCTAGCTGCTAGACCACAACATCCGGGTTTGGAATTCTGGCCATAGCAGCTTCACGGTCCTTCCTGAACTTCTTGTTAACTTTCCATTGCATCATGGCTGTCATGTTATTCAGAGTGTCCTGGCTTCTTTGTGTTGTAGCCTTCTGTCAGAACACAGCTTCCTGTACTTGGTTTAACCTTCTAGAGCCGGCCCTGGAGCGCCTACTTCTGGTACTGCCATCGGCTGATTGCCTAGCATCACTTTCTTCTGACTCCAGTCCTTCTCGGAGAGCTACTTGATCTCTTTCCACAAATGATAACTTCTATTCTGTAGGATTGTATACCTAATGCTATGATACCAACTTGTCACACCCCAATTTTTTAGTTTTAATTTTTCTTTTACCTCACAAAAAAAAAAAAAAAAAAAAAAAAAAAAAAAAAAAAAAAAAAAAAAAGTAACTATAGCAATTCATTCAATATTTATTCTATACACACAAAAGCTTTTAGAAAGGTATTGTTGATTACTAAGCTTTCTCTTAAGTGACGTGTTGCATTAGGGAGTCATCAAAAACCAATTGAAGCATGAGGTGGTATGTTTTGGTATGACGTGTAAGAACAATAGATATTCATATATATATATATATATATATAAATGTAATTGGCAAGTGCTTACTAAGCACTCTCTGGAAGCCAACACCTAAGACTAAATGGGGTGGCTTGAAGGTAAAACTGCCACCCCATTTAGTCTTAGGTGTTGGCTTCCGGAGAGTGCTTAGTAAGCACTTGCAAATTACATTTATATATATATGAATATCTATTGTTCTTACACCTCATACCAAAACATACCACCTCATGCTTCAATTGGCTTTTGATGACTCCCTAATGCAACACGTCACTTAAGAGAAAGCTTAGTAATCAACAATACCTTTCTAAAAGCTTTTGTGTGTATAGAATAAATATTGAATGAATTGCTATAGTTAAAATCATACAATGAGATTTGATAGGCTATAGCTAGATTCACGTAGCTTACCATACAACTAACTAATATATATATAGTTTTGAAAACTAATAATTATAATTAATTAATTTTATGAAATATTAATATACATATTTAAAAATATGGGGTTTCACAATTACATCGCTTTTCGCACTTTGAAGCCATCGTTTCAATATGTACTTGTCTGGCAAGTGCTCAACTTGCTTCATTCTTAAGAATGCTAGGATGTGCCAGCATAGAATACCCCAAAATTCAAATCCTTTGCAGCTGCAATAAGCTTTATCGGCATCTTTATCATGCACAAGCTCCTTTATCCGTGTCACCCCCGGATTTACCTACTCACTTACTTTGTATCTGCATTGCGTCTCATCTTGGTCTACAAGTTCGAACAAGCATAAAAGACTTCTGAAGTCTTCCCTCTCAAACATTTTTAGAATTTCTCGAGTGTAAATGCGTCACATTTGATGTTGCATTGGTGTTTGAAATGGCAGTGGAGGTTTTTCATTGTTATCAACATGATCAGCCATTAGCTCCTTGTGTCTTTGTGAAGCAAGAGCTCTCTCAAAACGTACAATGAATTCCATCAATGTGTTTTTCCGGTTAATATATTGTTTGAAAAATGAATGACAGCTTTCGGCCCGTTGACTACTTGACATCCCAGCCGAAAACACATGTTTTACATACGATGGAACCCAATTCTCCCGCATAGCATGAATTGAGCTCAGCCACGCATGATCTTGCAGCCCATTGTTTGTGATGATTTCCTCCCATTTTGCATCAAATTCTTCTTTCTTGTCCATACTCCATATGCATTTGCACATTTCCGAAAAACATTCTCCAATGCTGGGTTTCTCTGTAATCTTATTCAAGATATGTCATATGCAATATCTATGGAATGTTGTCGGGAGAGTTACAGCAATTGCCTTTGACATGGCTGCATCTTGATCAGTGATGATCATTTTGGGTGGCTCACCCAGCATGGCTTTCTTGAATTCCTCTAACAACCATACAAATGAATCCGTGGTTTCGCTAGTTAGGAATGCACAACCAAACAACACTGTTTGCCGATGGTTATTAACGCCTAACAAAGGCGCAAAGACCATCCTATAGCGGTTCGTGTTGAACGTCGTATCAAATACCACCACATGTCCAAAAAACCCATAAGCTCGTCTTGACCTTGCATCTGACCAGAAAACATTACCCATCCTTCCTTCTGAATCTACCTCCATCTTGAAATAAAAGGATTCATTCTTTTCTTGCATGGCCATAAAATGCTCCTTAAGTAGCTCTGCATCATGGCCAATCACCTCTCCACGCACGTCCCTTAGATAATTATAGACATCTCTATTAACAAAACCAACATTTTCCAATTCCCCTACTTGCACCTCAAGAAGGCTTAACTGTTTATATACCGGAATATTAACTTTGCTCATATCTGCACTATACACCTTTGTAGACTCTGTTAAGTTACGGTGAGATCTCAATAGATGGACTTTATCAACTGTGGTCATGTCATGGTTGTGTACCTCATTGAATCCTACAACAATGTACTTATTCTTGTCTTTCACCTTCAATATCGCAAGTTTAGCCTTGCAACCAGTTCGAGTACAACCTCGTCGTCTTCTCTTACGACTAACAGTGCTTGTCAATGCATACCCTTGTTTACAACATACATATTCCTTCCTTGTTACCTCTCCTGTCAGTGTGCACATCCTCGTTGTAGAACACCGAATGCCGAATCTGGCTTCCGCAGCATACATATTATAGAAATTGAACACATTGTCATAGCAATCAAATTCAAGTCCCAATTTTGGTTTCAACTCCGACCTTACTTCCGGTGTCACCTGTCATTCACAATCTATTTCACAGTTCTTGCAATTTAACCCTGAATTCACCACCATCATACCAACATTGGCACATGCTTTCAAATAGCTTTAAAATATATATATTAACTAACATATGACATGAAAATGATTCCCTAGTGAAATATTAAAGACTTACATACAAACTAATGTAACTCATGCTTATGCCCAATAATAAACTTGACAAATACAGTATAAAGAGCTTCAAAATATATATATTAACTAACATATGATATGAAAATGACTCTCTGGTGAAATATTAAAGACCAACATACAAAATGATGTAACTCATGCTTATGTCCAATAATAAACTTGACAAATACAATATAAAGAGCTTTAAAATATATACATTAACTAACATATGATATGAAAATGATTCTCTAGTGAAATATTAAAGACCTACATACAAACTAATGTAACTCATGCTTATGCCCAATAATAAGCTTGACAAATACAATATATCACTTACCTCGTGAGTCATTTCCAACCCCTGTTTCTCTGGACGTCAACCCCACACACTTTTCTTCTTCCTCAACCCCTATTTCAACCGTGCTCAACGATTTCAGAACCAAGAGAACAGCACAACGGTCGTGGTCACCAGTTTCCAACTCAAGACGTTGCTCAAGGATTGACGAATGTTCCGACCAGAAAGACCGAATGAGAAACCGAACAGCTGAATGAGAAACCCAGAAAAATGAGGACTATACTTCTGTGTTCTTCCTGGAATCGAATAAGGAATAACAGGGGCGCTCTCTCTTCAGTGTTATTGGCCTTGGTCAATCAAAGCCGATAAAAAAATTGGCCACTTAGTTGAACAAACCAAACAACTGGATTGAAGGGGACGTCTGTTTTCGACTCGACGTTTTGGAGGGAGGAGAGAGAAGAAGGCCTTGTTCTAATACAACACTTACACTTACAATTGCTTTTGATGCAACCGTTAGATTAGATCCAATGGTGTTCTCACGTAACGTTCACACATAAGCATTCTCACCTTATCCAAACCGTTTAAAGAAAAGCTTGAGAAGACCAAGGCCCAACACTTCTCAAAGCCTATAAACTGAGGCAATAAACAAGGACATTGTCTTCAAAGCTCTCGAAGAGGTTTCTTTGGATCTCCAAGTCTCAAAGTCACAAGTCACAAGTCACAAGCAGGATTTCTCTAAGGCTAAAAATGTATCAGTTAGCAAATAATTGATACAAAAGTCCTAAATTTCCTAAGTGGTACAAAACCACACCAAAACCCAAATGGTACAAAACCATTCGAAATTTTCTCATGGGTCATCTAACCGTGCAAATTTCAATGAGATCAAACTCAAATCTCTCAAACACAAATTCTCAATTAATTGCCCATACTTACCCATTAATTTTTTTTGAACTACGTCCAGTTTGATTCCTCTAAGGATACGTATACAATTTGGAAATTCAATCCAGATATAACTGCAAGTCCAAACAAAATCCCTAGTTTACCTTAACCAAATTCACCCCAAGCACTTTTCAAACCACGAAATCAAATTGAAACTCTGGTCCAACCACATTTACCATCCATAAAATATTTCTCACACCACAAATTCTTTCAAGGGGCCATTCATTTCTTGAAAGTCCAATCAAATTCTCCAAAGAACTATGAGCGGCTTAATCCCCCAAAAGAGGTACGTAGGCAACTTATGGTCAACCTAGGTGCAGCCGCAAACTTAAACAAACACACAACCCCCTCTATTTAAAGCTTAATTCATGTTGGAATCAAAGGGTGTTCTCTTTTTAATGAGAGATTGTAATTAAATGACACTTTATCTTGAATAGGTCGTACTTAAATAAAACTCATATTTGTGGACGAGTGAAATTGTGTTGCGTGGAGATTCATACAAAGTACTTGTACATTTTTTATTTATTTATTTATTTATTGCCTAACAGCTACAATTCAGCTTAATTAATTGTTCAAAATTAATAATGGGCTTACAGTTGTTAAGACTAAAATCTTTACAATCGCGTATGTGTGGGTTTGTAGATATTTATCGATCCTTTCATTAGAGGCCTTAAATAAATAAATAAAATACTGAAATTTTATGACTTTTTTTTTAAAATTTTTTTTATAATCTAGGAATGACATTTATTACCAATGTGGCTTGAACCTGCAACCTCTGAAGGAGAGTTTGAATTCATACCAACAGCGATAGATACGTACATATATGCTTCCATCTTAATATATTACAGGGCAGATGTGATAAAGGTAGTAGACGTCTGAACCCCATTTGGTTGGTCATTAGCATTCAACATGGTATTTAGTTCCTTGATGAATCTCTCCATAGCTGGGGCCGGTAAACAAATAGGAACCACAATCCCATCTTGGCCATTATTGTCTTTGAATGGAATGTAGAAGCTAGCCACTCCAGGTATGGCCCCGACCCCACCCTTGGCTGGCCCGCCATACGCTGCTTTGCCCCACCCAAAGTCCACCTCTCCAAACCCAGCACGCGTCACATCCGACACGAGGTACGTCCCCACCACCGTGAAGTGTGGCCGGCCCCTGATAACCATGAGATCTGCCAAAGAGCGCATGTACTCCTCTGTCACATCAGCTTTGGCCTGCTTTACCAGCTCCAGAGCGTAGCCCAGCGGGTTCTGGCAAAGCCTGCCAGCAGTCGTGAGAGCCACCGGGAACGCAAACGCGTTGCCATAATAACCCAAGGGCAGAGCAGGGTTGAATTTGGCACGGGCATTCACAATGCACAGCACGCGCACCTCCTCCTCCGGGTCTGGCTGAAGTGCTATCGTACGGCAACGCCAGAGGCAAGCCGTGAGGACCTCAAACGTGGAGCACTTGCTTAGGTGCTGTGGAACGAATCTACGGATGGCGGACATCTCGATGGGCCTGAAGAAAAAGGAGCGGTGGGCCATATCATCAAGTGGGATGATGGTGCCCTTGGTGTCCGCCACTTCATCGTACTCGTGGTGCACGCAAGTCACGCGCGGTGGATCACGAGCTTTCAGTAGCTCCCTTTTCCACACAGGCTGGAAGGAGGGGACACGTGCGCCACGTGCCATCTCTCCCACGGCCATCATGAATTGGACTAGTCCTGCTGCATCACTCATGGTGTGGTTGAGACGCAGGGCAAAGATGAAACCACCGCACTTGAGGCGCGTCACCTATTACACCACAACACTGTTAACTAATGGCGCCATAATAATATTAATATTTTTTTGGTCAGCGAGAAAATAATTCTTACTAATAAGAAAGAAGACTATGACCGAAATAAATAAATAAAAAGACATGTTTTACTCCTTGTGAATTATTTACTAATTAAATACTATTTATATTGATGTGTCGTTACTCATGCCTGTGACAAACAATGACACTTAACAACTTCCTCAAAATTACCTAATTTTAATTACAAATGGAAACTTAAATATTCTTTCAACATTTAAAACAGAACTACCATTATATATAATTTGCTTAATCAAAGATATACTTTGTTCCAAAAGTATAAAAAGACACCCCGTTTCCTGTTTCCTGTTTCCTGTTTTCCTGTTTCCCTTTTCCCTGTACCCACCCCGTTTCCCCCTTATTCTTCTGACACCTGTCCTCTCTCTTAACATGAAACATAGCGCTGTTAACTTTGAATGAAATGAAAAATAAAAAGACAGAATCAAGTGAAAAGAAATTAAAAAAAAACCCAGTAGCGACCCAAGCAGAAATGCAACAGCCGACCCTACCCCCTCCCCCCCAGTCCTCACACTCTCTCTCTCTCTCTCTCTCACTACTAAATCCCAAAACAAAAACCCCAAAACGTTGTGAGAACTGAGAACTATTTTAATTTTTGGTATAAAAAACCTTAAATTTCGTTTTTCTCCGTAGTGATCTCGAGGCGCAATTGTTCACAGGCTTTGTCTCGTTGATGATCGACCGATCAAAGAAACAAGTTTAAAGACATTAAAAAATCCAAAAGGAACAGAGAGAGCTATGGCAGTGGTTGATGATGCATTCGAAGTGGGAGAAGAGGTCGGGTTGAGTTCAGACTATCGTGATATGGTGCAGAAATTCAAAGAGAGAGAAAGGGAGGTTTGGGGCAGTGACGAGCAGAGGGGGCTGCCGCTGAGGTGTGCTGTTGTGGAGGGTTGCAGAGAAGAATTATTTTTTCTTTTCTTTTTTATAAAAGGGAAGATGAAGATGAACGAATTATTTGATAAAATTGACATATTAAACAGAGTTAAACTTCTGTTAGTTAACAGGACACGTGTTAGAAAAATAAGAGGGAAACAGGGTGGGCACGAGGAAAAGGAAAACAGTAAAGTTGGACTCGTGGCGTACCGTACTATGTTATAGTATGTGTTTTATTTCTTAGTATTTTACCTTCAAATATAATTAAGGTGGCCATGAATTAGTTTGTTGGACAAGTAATTAGTGATGAAATTTGGGGGTAACATACTACAAGTACGTAGAAATATATATATATATATATATATATATATACCTGAATTAGCAAGAGTGGGCAATTAAGAACCCCATCCGATCCGGGAACATTATAAAGAAGTTCCTCCAAGCAAGGGAATGGGGGCTGAAGAGCATCACCAAATTGCTGTAGCGTAACATCGGCATCAGCCTCAATGAACAAGATACCCTCAGCCGTGCAGTCTACCATAAGCTTCCGGGCAGGCCCCTCCCTAAGCCTACCTGCGAATGGGTAGTAAAACACTAGGGTCTCTGCAATTGCCTCTCTAATGACAGTAACAGGATCACTTCCTTGCATGGAGGGATCATAGCGATAAAATTGTATCACAGGTATCTGAAACCGAAGACCTTCTTGGTCATCGATATCAGAAAGTTGTTGAAACTCATGGGGTGTGGCCTTAGCCGGTGCCACCAGTTCTGGTTGGCGCCTTCGCACTGTGAACACTAAAGAGGTAGAAGGGGATGCCATATCACAATCTGATCGATGGATGGGGCTGAATAGGAGAGTGGATAGAGAGAGAGAATTTGGGAGCTAAAGTTTGGTGGTTGACAGTAGTAGTGTGTGTTATCATAGTTATTGCGGAGGTTATTTATAATAGGACAGAGGCAGTGGAATTGGATGGCCTACACCCTTTTTTTTCTTTTTTCTTTTTTTTTTCCCATTTTCTCTTTTACTTTCTTTTCTACATATTTGGGTGGGTGGGTGTGAAATTTTTCTCTTTTCCTTTTCTTTTCTACATATTTGGGTGGGTGGGTGTGAAATGGCATCCGAAATTTCCTGGCTGCTCTGATTGGGTTGACTTGAACCTTGATAACGGACTTAGAAAATAAGAAAACGACTTGATAAAAAGAAAGACTTCATAGTCGACTTTCTTTTTTATTATGGACTTGACTTGGCCTCGATGGTTGTTGTTGGGTATTTACTAATCAATCTTCCTGCTAACTTCCAGGCTAAACTTTGCCAGAAATAATTAAAATAAGATAATATAATATAAAATTTGTACACATAACAAATAGAGAAATTATAAGAGATATTTAGTGATATACCCATTCTTAGTACTAATATTATAAATAAATCATACACCATTGAAATTCTATAAACAAACCCAAAAAATGACAGCTGGTCTTATTAAATTTAATATTGATTATTAAATTACTTTAATGCCCTATTGAGTGTTTTGGGTATTTTTATAAGATTTTGGGGTTGGGCTTGTTTTAAGAAATTTATGGTAGTTTTGTAATTTATAAGAAGTTAAAGTCTATTTGTTATGTTGTAAATAAGCTTTGGGTGTGTTTATAAAGTCCATTTCATATGAGATATTTTTATAATTTTGGCCCCCATATTGGGTATAATAGTGAATCACCCAAATTATAATTAGGGGTGGGCTCAGTCTGGGTTGGTTCGATTTTGGGCTCGACCAAACACCAAACTGTAGGTTTCGGTTTGGCTATTTTGGAAACCGAAACCAAATCATAATTGATGAAAACACAATGCTTCGGTTAACTGGACTTGGTGGGTTGGTTTGGTTTGGGTATTTTGGCTTTCTTAGAGAGAGAGAGAGAGAGAGAGAGAGAGAGAGAGAGAGAGAGAGAGGAAATAAAAGCAATGGAGAGAGGGAGAGATGGAGAGGAGAAGAAGAAAAAAAAAGAGGGAGAGGTGGAGAAGAAGAAGAAGGAAAAAAAAAGGAGATGGGAGAGGGAGTGAAGACAAACGTAAGAAGAAAGAGAAAAAAAAATAGAGAGAGAGGGATTGATAGAGACAAGAAAAACAAAGAGATGGAGAGAAAAGAAAAAGAAAAAATTGAAAATATGGATTTTATATATATAATATTTTTTTAATATCATCGGTTTGGTTTGGTTAAATCATGATTTTGAATATTGCAAACCGTATACCGAATCATATATTTTGATTTGGTTTGGATTCAAACCGATGACCCCAAAAAAATTGAAAAAAAACCAAACCAACCCAAGTATTACCACATCAATTGGTGATCCTTTCATTTCAAAAATGACACGTGTCAATCTACTGAAATAAATTTTAAAATTCATTGTTTGTTTTTTGAATAAATTTTAAAAAACCAAAAAACAAAAAGACGTCAGAACCCACCACACCACAACCCAGTTCCCTACCTTGCACTGTCTTCCCTTGCCGCCCCTCCTTCACTGCTACCTCTCCATCTCAATCTCTCTCACTCTACGTATCTTTCTCTCTGTCTCTGTCTCGCTCTCTCTCTCCCAAAAATCAATATAAAAAGTTCTTAGCTTATGTCAGAAGTATCTATGATTTTGTAGATCCCAGTTCGAGAACATCTGAATCTTCAAGTGGGTTTTTCATTTTCAAGCATAGCTCAAGAAGAAGAAAAAAACTAATTTGTAAATTGGCTTGGCGTTGTTTTGTGTTAATTTGTACTAGGAAGTGAAAGGAGGAGTAGAATCTTGATCCCTCTGGTAATATTGTGGAGGAAAATGAACCCCAAAAAGGGTGTTGTTATGCTCTTTGCACACCGATCCAATGGTTCAAGATGCTCTATATGGGCAATAGTTGTTTATAGAGAGATGGAGGGAGGAAGAAAAAGAGAGGGAGGGCACGGCAGTCAGAGGAGGCAACGGATGGGCGGTGGCTCTTCCTTTTTTGATTTTCTCAATTTTATTGTAAGGATAAAAATAAATTCAAAGTCCAGCTATATCAAAAAAACTTTAATTATTTTTAAAAAATAACACAGGACATATTTTGAATAGAAGTATCACTAGCTGACATGGTGATATAGTACCGTTTTATAATTTTTCTAACACACGGGGGAGGAAGAAGAATTAAAAGAAAAAGAATTATGGAGCTAGCATTTGCTCTACCACCGAGCCTTGATCCGTACAAGGTCTAGTGACTAGTGTGTAGACATGGACAAACTCAGGAATTTCAAATCGAGTAGGCTAAATTTATAAGTACAAACATATTAAGAAAATTCAGTGAGTTTTAGTGGATTTTGGTTGTTTTTGTAGATTCATAGCCAATGGTGGTCCAGGGTAGGCTGTACTAAAATCCGTGCATGTGTTTCGGTAGTATTGAGACCCTAACTTTTCGTTTTTCTTCAAATGCTAGCCATAGATTTTCTGACAGGATGCTTTACCAAAATCACCACTTCAAACCAATCCAAAATGCATTATTTGGTGTGTGACAAAAATAGATGGGCAAGCAAGTAACAAAAATAGATGGGGCGCACCCAAACTAAAATAATGTCTTTTTAATTTTTTAACGAGGTCTGAAAAGTAAAAATAATGGAGTATACACATTTGTATCTGTAATGGCATATAGGTAATGATTGTGGGAAACCCACTTAACACCGTACACCGTCTCAATGCATGAGGCAACAAAGGTAACATTGCCTTCGTAGGTCTGGCAAGGCTATATGGCCTTGTTGACACTCTTGTGGGCCCATTTAAATTATATTTTCAAAATCAGAATTTTTTATTTTAAGGTATTTCTTTAAAGGTTATTTCAGCAAAAAATTACTTGAATTCGAAATCATTTAACTATTCAGCCAATGGTTGTATTTTTTATGTTTTCTTGGACCACCGGAATCGTCAATTTATTGATCACAACTAGATGTCTTAATGGATTCCAATTTTGCTCATTTTTAACAAAGATGATCTTTGAATAAAGACTTACAAAATAAACAATTTGGATCGTTGAAATATATTGTTGTAAATATTATGCCCTTGTAATTAATTTTTAATATTATCAAGTATTTATCTTAGAGGAGCGAAAAAGAAAGTGATAAACAAAGATTTTGCTAAAAAAAAACCAAGCAAGAGGGTTAGCAAGAACAAGAGGAAAATCAAGGAGAAGAAATAATGAGATTTGAATCAAGGAGAAGATAGTTTTAAAAATAGATTTAGGTTATTTATTTATCTATTTTGAAGGATTTTTCTATTAAGATTGGCGATAGTATACTAAACTTACACACACTATATGGATGTTAGGACTCGAACTCAGGACCTTTTCTGGGTAGGGAGCAATTGCTCCAAAACTACTACACTAGTGGGTTGTTTGCATATATTCGGGTTTTTAAAGCATGTTAAATGGCGTTTAAAAAAAAGGCTTATCTACTGTTTCACCCCTAAAACTCAAGCTCGCTCTCACTTAACCTTTCTAAACTCAAATTTCCTCACTTTACCCCCAATTCTCCTACTCTATTTCAAATGTTACCTAATCCCTTCAGTGTCGTCTCATTTTCCCGTTAAATGACCTTTCTTTCTTTCTCTCCCTATGCCTCTCTCTCTCCCATCCCCAACCCAACCCCCATCATACCCCTCCCCATCCCTCTTTTCTCTCTTCTGTCTTCTCTATGCCTCTCTCTTCTCTTTCATCCCCTCTCCAGACCCAACCCCCAGCGCACCTCTATCGCACCCTACCTATTCCCTCCTTTGCCTATCTCTCTCTCTCTCTCTCTCTCTCTCTCTCTCTCTCTCTCATCTCCCCTCCCCAGACCAAACCACTACCACTCAAATTTATTTTAAAAATCTCTTCAACAACCACTCCCCATTTTCTCTCTCAGCAGAGAGAGTGAGAGTGAGAGAAAGAGGCATAAAGAAGAAGAAAATATGGGAAAGGGTGAGGTGCAATGGGGGTTGGGGAGGGGATCGAAGAGAGGCAGAGAGAAAGGAGGGGTGGGGTGCGATGGAAAAGGGTTGGGTGTAAGGTCTAAGGATGGGATGGGAGAGAAAAGAGAGGTAGAGAAAGTGAGAAAAAGAGAGAGAGAAAGAGGCAGAGGGATTAGTTTATAATTTTATATCCTTTTAGCTTATGATTTGGTTATGTTTTTAGTTAAACTTGTGCTTTTAATCTCTTTTGTGTCTGTCATTCAATTCATTGAGCTTTAGGTAGCAATTATGGCTTTAGATAGAAAAATGTGCAAAATGGTGCAAAAATGTGCAAACCTAAAGACTGAGTTAGCAATTCATTTCAGACTTAACATCTTCATTCGACCTTAGATTGGCTCAAATGACATGTGGTTGGAAATATGACATTTTGAACTTCAAGATGGAAGGTTCAAAGTTGTCATTTGCTTAAGGGAAGCCTAATTCCTGAGTCCATGAAGTTGCTGGTCATTCTGACCTAAGCATGAGCTAATTGTTACTTGGTCATGCTGAGCTATGCATGAGCTACTATTTCTGGTGGGGAAGTTAGGTAAGGTTGGTGAAGTGAGTGTTGTAGGTAGAAGCCATACTGAATTCAGATTTCCCATTTCTTTCTCCCTATAAATACCACTTCCATTCCACACCAAAATCATCAACCACATCTTGGGATTCACACTCCCACAAATCATTCCATCCTCCACACTCCCATCATTTTCCCAAACACATTCAAAAACCACATCTAGCACATTCACACTCCTACAACCTCATACACTTCTCCCACAAAATCACTCCATCATTGACACACCCATCATTCATCAAACACATTCAGCCAACACTATAACTCCCACAACCCCAAACAGCCCCAAATCACCAAAACAGTCCTAGCAAGCCTCTTTGGCATTCCCCTACGAATTTCCTTTTTCTCAGCCATCACCACTCACCCAAACTCATCCCAAATTACTTCCTTAACCTTCATACATCCTTCTAGATGTGGAGAAACTCTTGGAGAAGCATTAGACGTGGAGAAGCTCATAGAGAAGCATTGGACATCATAAGAACTTCAAATTCAGGTTTTTCCACTCCTATTGTATTCATTATGTTTTCTCATTTTTGTTTAAGTTTATTTTACATTATGATTAGCTAAATCCATATCTAGGGTTTTGATGTAACCTAACATGAATATTTTGGATTTATAAGTTTCAAGTTTTAGTTTGATTCAAGATTTTGGCTCTTATTCATTATGCTTATAAGTTAATACGCTTGTTTGAATAATTGATCACCATTAAAACTTGTATGTTAGCTATCTTGGTTGGAATTAAGAGTAGACATCATATACCTTAATTCGAATTAAACTATTAATAGGAAAAGTATGAATGGACATTCGACAACAGGAATTAGATATATGCTTGGTTGTTTAAAACATTCTTTTGTGCTTAATGGATTTCTGATGCTTAATTTAGGTTTGACAATAAGGACTTAATTAGAGAATTAGGAATACAAGGTTAGGACCAAACACCATGGCTTAATCATACTTTAGTTAGAATCAATCTTTGAATATGAATTTGACTTGTCACTTGAATCCTTATAACCTAGAATTAGATTGTTATGGTGAATTGAATGCCCTAGTCTCCAAATTTGTTTTCCAGCCCTTAAGACCACTATTTGTTAGACTTGTTTACTTTGCTTTTGTTTGCAATTTCATTTCTTTTTTTCTTTTTTTTCAAAATCAATCTCACTTTAAATTTTGTTTTAGACTTAACTTCTTGTTTCTAGAATTGGGTAATCTAAGTATATAATTAATCTGAACTTCTCAATCCTCGTGGGTATGAACTTGTACTTGTCTTGCGATACTACTAATTGACCCGTACAATTGCAAGTTAATAAAGGGGGTAGGGTGCACTGGGGGTTGGGTCTGGGGAGGGGATAAAAGAGAAGAGAGAGAGAGAGAGAGAGAGAGAGAGAGAGAGAGGCATATGGAGGGAAGGGGTTGGGTGCAATGGAGGTGCATTGAGGGTTGGGTCTGGGAGGGGATGGGAGGGAAGAGAGAGGCAGAGAGAAGTTAGAAGAAGAGGGGGTGGGGGTGGGGTGCAATGGGAGTGAGAGAGAGAGAGACAGAAAGAGACAGAGAGAAGAGAGAAGATAGAGGGGCTAAAATTACTAGAATGCCCATGCCACGTCAGCACACTTAACAATTTTGTGGACGGAAATGGATGAAAGTGGTAAAGTGAGAAAATTTCAGCAATTTTTAGAGATTTAGGGGGTAAAGTGAGGAAATTTGAGTTCCTAGTGGTTAAGTGAGAGCGAGCTCGAGTTCCAGGGGTGAAACAGTAAATAAGCCTTAAAAAAAAAAGAGCAGGTCAAGTTATTAGAGCATTTGCAATGGTGAGGGTCATTTCAATTTTATTTCAATAAATCGAACTTTTGACTTGTAGTGATAAAGTTAAGTTCATTTAAGAGATTAATGTTTCATTTCAGGAATCAATAGTTCATTTCAGAGGTCAATAAAATGAACTATGAAATGAATTCATTTCAATAAGCTAGCGCACCATAATAACTCTACAACCTCTCTCTTATTGACACATGGACAACATTATTTTTTTGCTTTTTAATTTTGCTTATTCATGTTCAGTATTGACACATAGGAAACTTCCTCACTTGTTGTTATATTATATAATTTAACAAATGAAAAAAAAATATTAAACAAAATATAGGGAAACTAAACAAAGATAAACCAACATACCTTTTTTTTAAAAAAAAAAATCAAGAAGTAAAGAGGCTCTCAAACACAACACAAAAAGACTACACGCAAGCAAATTTTTATTTTTATTTTTTGTGATTCTCCTCTCCTCTGACACTAAGTTGGAAAAAATAAAATAAAATAAAATCCCCCACGAGACCAAATCAGTACCTTTCTTTCAAGGTTATTATTATTTTTTTTCAATAGATAGATATATAAATTTTTCAAAGTGTAAGAGGATATTTGAATAAATATTTTGTTAAAAAGACCAATGTTTCACCTGAAAATTTACCAAATGCATCTGAACAACCAATCCAATCTGATCTAGTAATGCATCATCATTTTCAACTCATTCAAGATAAGAAGATTTATTATCATTATCTTAGCCATAAAATTCAAAATGAGTTGATGGCTATTTTAGCATCAAATGTTAAACATGCAATCTTGAAAAAAATAAAAAGGGCAAAGAATTTTTTAATCATTCTTCATTTTACTCACGTTGCAAGTCACAAAGAACAAATGACTTTAATATTGAGGTGTACTTATTGTGGGAACTCAACTTTAGCAAAAACCCTAGGTCAAATATTTCCTTCCATTTGGGAATTCTTGCCTTGAATTGGTTTTGCAGGGAGAAAGAGTTCAAGGAAGGAGAAAGGAGAATCTATTGATCGAATATTCTAAAATCACTCCCACACTTATCCCATTAGGTTTTTCCCTAACAAGGTTTTAATGAGGCCTCAAAATGTTCTTCTTTTTCTTTTCTAGACTCTTCTAACTTTAATAAACTTATTGTAATTATAGTGTTTAATTTGTCTAAAGGGGCACACTTTAGAAAATTTCCCAAGGCCTTAGAAAACTAGGACCGGCTTTGTTGAATGTACTTTTTAATAGATTGAGTTAAAATAAAACTTTTTAAAATCAACATAGAATCTTTCTTTAAGTAAATTTTTTTCGTGATCCCAAAATAAAACTTGTGTACAAGTTAAAGTCAGCTATCTAAAATTTTCTGACTTAGATTTTATGCATTGAGTTTTGAGATGAGAGTTTCATGGCAGCTAAGATATGAGAGAAACTCTCATGCAACAAGGATAACACTTTTTGCTATTTCTGACTAACAACACAATGATACGTGGGATAACTTTGTCACGTACACTGGCGGACCTAAGAATTTTTTAGCGGATGTGCAATTTTGAAAGGTTAAAAACTCTTTGTGTATTAAACATCTAAGACTTTTTACCTAGATTGACCTTAGGTCCCTTCATGCATTCATATCATACATGAAAAATTGTTCTATGTAAAAATATTGACTAAGTATGAAAAATGGTTTTTTCGGAATAATCATTTTCTCAAGATAATTTTTGGCGGCTTTTATTTCTTACACATCAAATAAGAAAACTTGATTTTATGGGATTTTATTATGAAGTATATATTGACTTAATGAGCTATCATTTTAGCCTAAATTGTATTTTGCACTAAAACCGATTTTTCAAATTTGGATTTGGGGAGAATTTGATTTTCTAGTATTTTTATTTGAATCCAAATGGGGGGTACTTTCTTATTTACATTGTAAACTTAAGTAAATGAAGTAATATAAAAATAAATGAAAGTAAATAGAGTAATATAAGGAACAAAGGGGCAATTTCAAGCACCAACAATGGTTTTTCTGGCGAGGGGAGGTGCAGCTGCACCTCTTTGCTCTTTAACAAGTCCGCCAGTGGTCACGTATCATTGTATTATTGGCCGAGAATAGTAAAACAGTGTTATCCCCATTACAAGTAATTATTTTTTTTTCCTAGGATAGGGCTTCTAGCTTTTTTGTCGCTTGCTTAATTTCTTTTTGTCATTTTTTCTACCTGTTGATTTTCAGAGCGAACACCTTTTTCTTTGTTTACATATTGAGAGTTGGCATGTAAAAGCCACCTCTTTCTGTCGTTTTTGTTTACTTACTCACTACTCTTCGTCGTTTTGCTTACTTAATGAGTTTTTATCGTTTTGTTTACTTAATGTTAATCTCCTTTGGTCCTTTTTTATTTTTTTTTATTTTTTTATGTAGACATAATGTTGAAAACTAATTCCCACATGTGTTGCAAACATGCACAAGTTCGCTATTGTGTATTTTCGCTGCGATTACGGGTTCTACTTTGTTGGATAATTGATACTTAAGCTATTGGTACAAAATACAAATACATGGATAATTGATACTTAAGCTAGTGATCATATGACTTTTGACTCTCGCATTTTTTTCACTTATCTTCCAAGCCCCGCCACTCGGGAGTTCAGACCAAAGTTGTGGGATTGTGGATCCGAGGCAGGGACGAAGGACACCTGAATCGAGATTTATTTTATTTATTAAAGATGGAGGAGAAATTTATGAGAGGAATGAGGGAGGAGGGAAAAACTATTAAAAATAAAAACTTGAAAAGAAAAACTATTTAGAATGGCATTTGACGTCCCTCAACCATCCCTCCCCCTTCCTCCTTTTTTTCTCCATCCTTTTTCTCATGCATTTCCTCTCTGAATTAATTTCCTCCAATTTTTTAACCATGACCCGACTATTTGACGAAAAAGGACATGACTAAATGAACGTTACCAAAAGAAAAGTTAAAAACATTGATAGAATGTAAAAACAATGAACCACAATGAGCAAAAAGTGGCAAGGATTTGAACTACTGTACCACAATGGTCAAGTCCTTCCAGTAACAAGGTTAAAGTAATCTGACAATTGACTTTAATAAAAAATGGAATGACATGGATTAAGAACAATCCAATGAACGCTACGATTCCACACCCACACTGCTATCTTAAAGATTTTCCATGGGTGTGAAATGGACAGTTTGGGGTTTAACGACCCAATATCCAATAAAAACGGAAGCACATAATGAGATTACTGATAACAAAAGGGCAAAAACACTAGCAGCACTGACTGAGCTACGTGGTCTTGCCATGGTAAGCACAGAACTTCCCAAAGAGATGTCTAAGGGGACCCAATCACAGCTAACAGAATAGTGTCCAGAGCCGTGCCACGGTTTTCCATCAACTGGATACCAAAATGCAACTGACATTTTACTTGATCCTCCAATTGTGAATTGCACATCCTGCACAAACAAGTAACAAACTCATTTTAAACTCATTACAATGTTGATATTTTAATTGAAATCTATGTATAACACACTTATCACAATGTCAATTTTACTTGGAATCTATAATATCTATATATAAAAGAGACCTAGTACACTGTCAATATTTTCCTTGGAATCTAAATAAATAGACCAATAATCACATCATATCAACTGTGTAATATGTATGGTGTATTTCAAGTTACAAAAGATGGGTAAAAATAAATTCCAACACAACAGTATAGCACAAACCAGTAATCATTCCAAAAGACTTTTCGTACAGTAAGTTTGGTTGACACCATGTACATATTCTAAAAGATAGACTTGTTAAACTGCCAAGAAGTTTGTAAGTAAAAACAGCAAAGGACCAAAATAAAAAAGGAACGGATCATCAGATAATTGCAGCAATCTTGTCTAAGGGATAGATATGCATTTTCAATTAGCAACAAGGCTATTTAGTGCTTGTCAATAATCCTCTTCGTTCAACACGAAACAACAAGAACGATCAACTCTTCAAGCAACTTTCACAACATGTACTACAAGATGTATCAACAATTAGAGGGGAAAGGGTTTTTTAAAAGAACTCAAATCCAGGCAGCTAGAAATTTAAAAGTGCCCGGTGAACCTGTTGGAGACGATCCATAGTTCTCAAAGGCCTAGAGAATTCAAAATAAAATGTTCCCTTTTGACCATCTGATGCATAAGGACTGTCTTCTTCCACAAAACTGTCATAGTCAATAATAAAAAAAAAAAAAAAAAAAAAAAAAAAAAAAAATACAATGCAAAAGAAATATGTTTGTTTCTGGGGGAAGGATGGTTCAGTAGATAATGCATGGTCGTGTCACATACACGGATGCAAAATTATATTCAAATGACAAACCATATAACAAAGATTGATAATTACCTGAGTGAACATTGAAGCTACTGTGCCACCAAGCACCCTTCCAATCATTTTGTCCACTAGAATCATTTGCTGACAATGGACAGAGATAAACTAAATAATTTGATCACTGGAACTCATTTAAAAGCAAATACAAAAACTTAGAGAAAAGGAGTTTTCCACAGGTGGGGGAATTCCACCAGTGGTTGAATTAAAGCAGTACTTTTTGCAGTCAGTACTTTTCCTAATGGGGATATGAGGGGGGGAACTTGTTGACAAACTAATGGAAATCAAATAGTAATCTCCAGAAGATAATAGTTAAAAGTTGTTAGCTGGACCAGGGATATTCAACATAATGAATGATATCACTTTTTAATATAACCCAGCTTGAGGATTGTGACATCGGAGAACCACTTCATAGATTTAATGCTGCTTTTGTGACTTCCTAACTCTAGCAGTCACTTCCTTAGTCCTTTCTTCTATCATATAGGCATGGTTCATGCCCCATTAAGAAAAATAGATTAAAGTAGCCATAGGATAAATTACTCTCAGAAATACCTGAAGAACCAATTCCATCTAGGTATCTACAATGCGGGTTCCAAGCATAAAGATCAACTAAATGACCAAACCTGTTCAAACAAAGATGACAAGTATATACAATAAAATGGAGTCTGTAAAAGATAAATCAGAATCAAATTACCCAACAAGTGGATCATTGCTATAAGGTGAAGAAATGAATTGTACTACGGCACCTGTCGCCTCCATTTCCAACCCTGTTGTCTATAGGGTTGCCACCATAAAGCCGTCCAGGAATAGCATTCCCAATTGAGAAGTGCAAAATATCAACTTCATGGCCCTTGCACGTCTTGTTTGTGCAAGAGTCAACTCCTTCCTTACAGCCACCCATCTAGCAACACAAAAATCCTTTTGGTTTGAACTCCACAGTACATGAAGGAGGACCAAAACAAAGCAAAGAAAGTTGCACAAGTTTATTGAAAAATGAAAAACACATCCATAGTCCAATATGCCAATGGAGTAACTTACACTATGATAAGTTGCATCTTCACCAATTTGAAACATGAGGGCAACAGAAGGGCATTTATTGTTGTCACTAAGTCAGGAGAGGAAAAAAACAAATCAACAAACTCTTTGTTGTCAAGAAAAAAACAAGGCATGAAATTCAGTGGTAATGCAATCCAACAAAGCACGCACTTCAAGCACATAATCAACCAACACATCAAAGTAGAAAAAAGACCAGACAATGACTAACAAAATCTTCAAAGATATAGCAAACACATAAATTCCACGTCCTCCGACCAAAAAAATTACATTCATTGTACTAAAAAGAGAGTCGAAGAACATCTTAAATGACAATGAGAATTTGGAGTGAACCGCAATTCTTGCCACTAATACTGAACATTGAAACCAAATCAAACAAACAAGAAATTAGTTCAGAGTCAACCGCAAAGATATGAAAATATTCATTCCTTCCACCAAAAAACATACCCCTTAGAGTAAGCGTAGTCCCCCATCAACTTGAACCATAAAGAAGACATCACGGCCATCATGCAAAGCCTACCGTCAAAATATAACAAAAAGAAAATCAAATTCATATTTAAAACCAACCAAATTATATATTCAAACAGTAAATCCAGAATACCTTAACTGTCATTTTTCCACCTCTGTACTCGTTTTCAGCATCTGGGTCAAGAGCAGGGAGGAGAGAGAACTCGAACCCATCCATGTCCTTCCAGTCGTCGGCATGACCATCGAGCGTAATAAGGCCGGGTCCGAACTCGGCCTGGACCCGGATCTCAGAGTCCGACTCACAGCTCCATTCACCCGACTCTTCGTGCGAATTGGCCTGTCGTATCAGCAGCACACAAAATACCAATAGCACTAGCACTACTCGAAGCATTCTGTAGAGGACTACCTTTTAGGCTTGAATTTGATGAGTACACCGTGCAACGCCCTATGTTCTGCATCCCTTTCTCATGTACGACCTTATCTTTTGAATTGAAAATTGTTTTCCGTTTTTTATCGCCAAAGAATTACCGTTTAAACTTGAACTCTAGAGGTAGGCGGTTTCAGAGGGTCTCCCAAGTAAGTTTATTTGAAGAATTCCATATATATATATATATATATATATATAATCCCCTTCTATTGAGGGATTCTTCAAATAATTTTATTTGAGGGACACTCTTTAGGGTACCATACAACTTTTTTGCCAATGATCCAAACAATCTATTTTTTAGGTCTTCAGTCATAGATCATCCTTACAAAAATTAGACAAATCGGAAACCGTTTCGACATCCAAATGTGTCTTACAAAATCAATGAACACGGTGCTTCAAGAAAGTACTAAAATTTCAATAACTCAATTGAGTGGTCAAATGATATCGGATTCAAGTGATTTTTTGTAGAGATGATCTTTGAATGAGTATTTACAAAATAGACGGTTTGGATTAGTGAAATACAATCCGGAGTGGGGCCTACAAGGGGTGTCCCTCAAATAAGCTTATTTAAGAGATCCCTCAATGGAAGCTCTCTGTATATATATATATATATATATATATATATATATTTTATTGAGGGATTCTTTAAATATTTTTATTTGAGGGACGCCCTTTAGGGTACCATACAATTTTTTTCCCAATAATCTAAATCATCTATTTTTAGGTCTTCATTCATAGATCATCTTTACAAAAAATTAGACAAATCGGAAACCGTTTCGACATCCAATTGTGTCCTACAAAATCAATGAACACGGTGCTTCAAGAAAGTACTAAAATTTCAATAACTCAATTGAATGGTCAAATGATGTCGGATTCAAGTGATTTTTTGTAGAGATGATCTTTCAATGATTATCTACAAAATAGACGGTTTGAATTAGTGAAATACAATCCGAAGTGGACCCTACAAGGGGTGTCCCTCAAATAAGCTTATTTGAGGGATCTCTCAATGGAAGGAGACTATATATATATATATATATATATACAAAAAAATCACTTGAATCCGATATCATTTGACCATTCAATTGAATTATTAAAATTTTAGTACTTTCTTGAAGCACCAAGTTTATTGATTTTGTAAAACACAATTGGATGTCGAAACGGTTTCCAATTTGTTTAATTTTTTGTAAGGATGATCTATGAATGAAGACCTAAAAAATAGATGGTTTAGATCATTGGAAAAAAAAAATTGTAGAGTATCCTAAAGGGTGTCCCTCAAATAAAATTATTTGAGGGATCCCTCAATAGAAGGGGACTGTATATATATACAAATTCGACTCACAAAGACTAACGACATTTTAGTCCATTAAAGTTTAGGCAATCAAAATGTGCCTTGAGGTTTCAATTTCATCAATTTGATATCTAACATTTTCAAATATGACCAATTCACAACGTCCATTAGATTGACCGTCTAGTCAGATGTTAAATGATGATGCGACAACTACGGGACTCACCACAGATTGTTGACTATCCAATCCAACTAGTCCCCATGAAGGGCATTTTTTAAAAGAAAAACCAGCTCATATCCTTGGAAATGCCCTTCACATGGACTAGTTGGATTGGGCAGTCAACAATCTGTGGTGAGTCCTGCAATTGTCACATAATCATTTAACATCTGACTAGACGATCAATCTAATGGACATTGTAAAGTGATCATATTTGGAAACATTAGGTATCAAATTGATGAATTTGAAACCTTGTGGCCCATTTTGATATTTCCCCTAAACCTCGATGGACCAAAATGTCGTTAGTAAAAAAAAGGGCTTAATTATTGTTTTACCCCTAGAACGGGCGCTCGTTCTCACTTTACCCTCTAAAACTAAAATTTTCTCACTTCACCCCCAGAATCTCGAAAAATTGTTGAAATTTTCTCACTTCATTACTTTCGTCTACTTCTATCCCCAAAACCGTTAAGTGTGCTAGCATATGTGATTTAGTAATTTTAGCTATTAGAGACTTTTAAGTGCAAATTAAATTTTAAAAAAACATATTTTAACAAACCCATCTTCCCTTTCTTCCCCTTCCCGTAAGCTCCCAAGCTCTCACCTCCATGTTTTCCCCCTCTTCACTTTCCGGTTATCCTTATCCCCCAATGCACCCAGAGCAACCCCCACCACCCCAATCCTCCTCCCCCATCTAGTCACCCCACTTTCCTATTCTCTTCATCTCCATATCTCTCTCTCCCTTGGTGTGTATGGGGTTTGACTAGGTGGAGATGACAGTGAGGTTTGGTGATTGCTCTAATGATGGCGGTGGTCTAATTAGGTGGTAGGTTTATAAAACTACCTTTAGCATTTATTTTATTTACTATATGGTGTAAGTTTGTTACCCATACGACAATATTTATTTAAAAGTGTGGTGCGGGTTTATCGTCCACACAACTGCCTTTACTTTTTATTTAAAAGTATGGAGTATAATTAGTGCACATACCAGCACGTTTACTTTATTATTTAAAGTATGGTGTGGGATCAACGTCCATACATGAAGCAATTTAATTTATGAATTTATTTTACAACACATTTACATTTATTTAAAGTATGGTGCGGGATTATTGTCCATACCAGCAATTTATTTACAAGCAATTTATAGCAATTTATTTTATAAATTAATTGTGTGATATGATGAGTTTTACAACATACAGAGATCAAGACCAAAAGTTCCTTGATCCTCATCATACAACTACATCAGGACCTGAAGATCTTTGATGATGATAATGATATGAGAGCTGGCAGTCTCTACAGTATTACATTTGTAAACAAGATATCAGACCTGAAGATCCTTGATCCTTGACATCTAAATAAGGACCTGGAGTTCCTTGATAATGTAACAGTACCATATTGGTTAATAGTGTCGTACACATGAATAGTAATTGCACTGGCAAATGTACTGTACACATGAATAGACACGTATTCATGACCTGACGAATAGTATCATATACATGAATAGTGACGTATACATACATATTAACCATTTTGGATAAACCGTCACTATATACAAAAGGGAACATGCAATTCCTTAAACTCATGGATGAGCAATTAAATGAGAAGCCAGAAGCTCCTCAAAACATGGACAATTATGTAAGTGACTGAAATCCTGAAATATGTATGGGAAATTATAAAAATGTCCATACCATGAAAATATGCAATTTTTTTATACAAATGATATTGGGGAAGGATGAAGGATGTGTTCTACTTTTTAGATTAATAAAGCCACAAACATTGAGCTTTAAAACAAATCTAACCCCAGTATCTTTAGGCATAAATTTTGGTTGTTCCAACTAAGACTCTCTACACCTAGAGAGAGGGAAAGGAAAACTCATTTACCTTTGTAGCATTACCTAGAGCAAGCTCTTAGGTGGATCACCCAAGGATAGGCCTTCACCACTAACAAGAAGTTCTCAAGTAGTCCAAAGGAGGATGTCTCTATGTTTCCACATCAAAGAAAAGAGAAGGATGGAGATGAATTTAGGAGGTTGGATTTGCTAGAATCCTCTCCTTGATGGCCGACCCCCTTGGTAGCGAATGAGAGGATTTGGTTTGCCTCTTAACTTAAGAACACATGAGAAAACCCCAGGATGAGATGATACCATCTTTATCTACATAAAGGGGTTCATATAACCAAAGTGGCCTCACCTAAACCCTATGGCTGTTTTGGCCTTGTCATTGACCATTTGGGCCTTTGTCTCTTAAGTTCTCAACTACAACTTAACTTACAAGCATAATGGGTCCAAGCAAGATGGGCCTTGTGACCCCAAAACGATTTTAGGCCTTATCCATATTTCCCGAGCCTCAATTAATTTGTTAATCTCTATTAACAAATTAATCATTGCTTATCATCTCCTAATTAATTTACATCTAACCTTTATGGGTGTGCAATCCATTAAGTTCTAATTGGCAAGGTAGTGGGCGATTCAAACTCTTTTTTAATTGATTATGAATTAAAACTCTATTTTAATTTCCCCCTTTAATGAGGACCCACATTTGGTATATCCTCAGGGCTTCCACAAGTCATGGGTAACGTCTAGCAACGTGCCATGACTATCCAAGCCGATATAGAAGTGGTAGAGAACCTATTCCGTTGGAATAACAATGTAATTCGGTCATATAAGTAAGACTTCCGTATAAGATCTCTTGTTTGAACGCGTTCAATGAATTCACTCTCTAGTGAACACCCATACACCTATCTTTGTGTCAACTACACAAATGACTTGAGACGAGCTTTTCTCTCAATTGAGCAAAAATGGTGTATCAATCTTTGAGGATTGTCAATGCCCAGTTGAATGGTCCTATGATTAGGAACTCTCTAGGGAGTGAAGGGAAAGGTCTCCTAGATCTAACTTAGATTGCTTTCCTCATCTCACAGTCCATGGACTTGTTGATTAAGTAAATACCAGTTAATAAGACATATACTTGAATCAACATCAATGCCCTTTTATATCAACAACATATGAAATATCCAAAAGTTTACATCTCATGCTTGATTTTAGGGCATATTTCCAACATAGGGGAAGTACATACTCTTAACCTAGGACAGGCCTCTTACTTGCCCACTTTGTCTTGATAACTCATGTGCCACATGTATTTTGTAGGAATAAGGATTTGCTCTAGTAAGCTTTAACCAAACAAACGGTCAAATCTTTCAATTGTTAACAATTTACCAATTTTATTAGCAAATTTTATTTCTTTTCTTTTTTGTTATAGAAGATTGGGGGATGGAGATTCGAACACAAAACCTCAAGTGCAGGGGTAACTGCTATTAACCACTTAGAGCATCTACAATCACACTAAACCCTAAACCCTAACATTAATTAAAAGTTTAAAGGACTAACGACGTTTTACCTCTTTAAGATTTAGGTGCCGTATCGAAATGGGCCATGAGATTTCAATTTCATCAATTTCATACCTAATTTTTTAAATTTCATCAAATTACACCTTTTGTCAACTTCACCATTAGATTTTCTGTTAAATTGGTGACGTGGCAATTGTGGTACCCACTTTGATGCTGATGTGTGAAAAAAATTATAAAATTCTTTAAAAAAATTATAAAATTCTTTAAAAAAATTATTATTTTAAAATAGGAAGGAAAAAAAAAGCCTATCTCCCCTAAACCCCATAGCTTTCGCAACCGACCCACCCCCCCTCCCCCCCAAAACACACAGGTTGAGGGATTCCTCTTATTTGAGGGGCATCTTTGTAGAGCATACTCCGCATTGTATTTCACTAATCCAAACATTTGTTTTGTATATTATTCACTTCTATAAAATAAAATAAAAAAAAAAAAAAAAAAAAAAAAAAAAAATCAATAAATCCGATATCATTTGACCGCTCAATTAAATTATTAAAATTTTAGTACTTTCTTAAAACACCATCTTCATTGATTTTGTAGGATACAATTAGATGTCTAAACGGTTTCCGATTTGTCTAATTTTTTGCAAGGATGATCCATGAATGAAGACCTAAAAATAAATGGTTTGGATTGTTGAAAAAAGAAATTATAGGGTACCCTAAAGGGTGTCCCTCAAAAGAAGGAGACTATACATATATATATAGGCCCTTGAAAGGAGAAGGAATGCTAGAATGCCAACATGCATCTATTATTGAATTCACCCGACCCGATAGTACAGTACCAATTTTGGGAATGTCCAATGCCACTCAAATAAACTTATTTGAAGGACACCCTTGTAGGGCCCACTTCGCATAATATTTTACTAATCTAAACCGTCTATTTTGTAGATGTTCATTCAAAGATTAGGTCTATAAAAAAAATCACTTGAATCCAATATCATTTGACCACTCAATTGAATTATTGAAATTTTAGTACTTTCTAAAAGCACCATGTTCATTGATTTTGTAAAACATAATTGGATGTCGAAACAATTTTCAATTTGTCTAATTTTTTACAAAGATGATTGTTGAGACCCAAAAAAGTCACGAGAAGCCCAGAGACATTTAAAGCCCAATATAACATATAATGTTGGTCATACGTTAATCCAAGCTGTATTTTGGGAATTAATTGATTAAATAAATATAGAAATAGTGTGCATGCCATGCCAAATCAATAATACATTTTTTATATGTCAATCACCTGCCAAGCTCACATGAACCCAAGTCATATAGTTTACGGGGCTTGCACGAGGGATTGTGGTGTAAAAGGTTACGGAAATACACAAGGCTCACGGAAGCTCTTGGATAATAGAGACTTTAGGCTAGCTAATTGGGAGCACCAAAGTCTAAGCCCATTACTTGGAGTTCCCCAATGTGGGTGAGCAAATGAGATATTTTTCAAGCACTTCCTTTTACCCATAGGAAATAGTCATTTTCCAAATACCTAGCTTTACCCGTTGGAAACAAGCCTTTTCCAGTACTCCCTATTACCCGTTGGAAATAATTCGTTTCCAGCGCTTCCTTCTACCCATAGGAAATAATCATTTTATGGTACCTAGCTTCACTTGTTGGAAAATAGCATGCCCCAGTGCTCCCTTTTAACTATTGAAAATAGGCTGGTTCTAGCACCTCCTTTTACCTATTGGAAATAAAGAAAAACCCTCACCTTTTATAAATTGGCGTTCATGGCTCAGGCAAATGACACCAATTTTTCTTCAGCCATCAAGCCCCCTCATTCGGCTGCTGCAAGCAACACAACAACCATCAACCCCCTTCTTCAACCATCATGCCCTTTCTTTAGCTACTGGAGCGACACAACAACTTCTTACTTTGGTTAGTGCAAGCATCCCAGTGGCCATCAACCCCCTTCTTCAATCATCACACCTCCTTCCTAGATGTTGCAAGCACCCCAGCCATAACCTCCTCTCCTTGAAATCCATCATATTCTCTATAAAGCCTCACCAAGCAACTCCAAGCTTTTCCTTCCTTCCAAGCCAAGCCTTCAAACCTCAAGTTTTTCCTCCCATCATCATTCTCTTGAAACTCTTAAATCCCCATAGCCATGGCCACAAACAATAAATTCTCAACACCCAAACTCAAGCATATCAAACACCAAGCCAAGCACAAGCATTCTCATTTGCTAAACTTGTGGATCTTTAGCTCCCACACTCCAAGCTCTCATGTCAAGCTCATATAATCTCATATCAACATCAGCAAGTCATCTTCAACTCATCCAGAGCGAGCAACATCCTTACTCATTGCTGGAAGCTTCCATGTCAAGTTGTGTTCTTCCATCTTCTTCCTCTCTTTCCCATAAACACATCCAAAGAGAGCAAGCATGACCTCCCACCTCTGGAATCTTCCATTTCTTCCCATTTTTCTCTTCTAGCCAGCCACCCAAGAGCTCGACGAGGTTTCTTCAAGCTGCTTGAAATCTGCTAAAGCCACCCATCCTTTATCTCTCTCTCACTCTCTCTCTTAAAAAGCTCCATCCAAAAGAATCTGAAACACTCATCCTCTCAAGCTAAGCTGAAACCATAGTCATTACCCTTTTAGTAAGAAAATGCAGACATCGCAAGCTCTTCATCTAACTGCTGAAAACACCTAAAATCTCAAGCTTTAATCCTTTCTTTACACTCATTTTCTCTTAGCTCTCACGCCACAAGCCTCTCATGCCAAGCCTAGTAGTATCGTGATTCACCAAAGCAAACTTTCATGCCAAGCCTATGCAACATCAATGCACCATATCCAACTCTTCGTCTAGCTGCCAGAAACATCAACACAAAACATGCAACTGCTGGAAGAAGAACAGAGTACTCCCCTAGGACTTGCTTCTCCTTTGGGATGCTTTGGGCCTAGTTCTTGCTAACTCAGAAAAAGGGGCAACGAAGGCTTGATTCACCAATCTATGACGGTCCAAGAATCAACAAGCTCAGACGAGCCTTCCGACAAAAAAAGTGTAACAACCGGGTCCTTAATTAATTTTTAATTATTAAATTATTAGAGAAAAAGACAATTTTGTCCCTATAATAAATTATTAGGGAAAAAGTTGACTTTTGACTGGGAAGGAATTTGGAAATTTCAGTTGTACTGTTGCATAAAGCACGTCGAGATGAGTCCGTAGACATGTAGTGGGCTCAAATAGGAGTTGTAACGAAGAAGTTACGATCAAAAGAAGTTCAGTGGCATAACTGTAAATATTTCAAAGTTCAGTTTCAAAACCCAGATTTTCTCCTCCCCCTCAGAAGCTTCACGACCAGCCAACTTCTCTCCAACACCACCGCCACCACACACCTCTGTTCTTGGCGAAACCAGTCCCGTTAGAACCACCTCACTTCCCTCTTCGATTCCTGACCAGTCCTAGCCTTGATCCGCCGGCGTGGTCGCCGAAATCAGCCACGAAACAGGCGGTGTTGGACAGTTTTTTAGTAAACTTTCGGGAGCTCGTTCGGACGCTTCCGGCCACCAAATCTTTCGAATTTCGTATGATTTTCTATCCTTTCAACGTGTTCTAGCTGCTTGTTGTGTTATTTTTGAGAAATTTCTGCGTTTAATTGGTTGATTAAGCGATTGAAGTTTTGGCCAGTTTCGGCCTTCGATTCTGGCCACTTCCAGCCACTTTTTGGGGTAGGTCCAAGAACAAAAGTGGTTTCAAATAAGGTGTTTTACCTAGGGTAGGAAGCTTGGCCTTCAACCTTGAAGTTTTCCGGCCACCAAAATTTATCTAGACACCCACGTGCTGCCGGCCCGTGTGGTGACGCATGGGCAGGGTGGTGGTCCGACATTATGTTCTAAAATGATCCTTATGTTGTCATGAGCGTGTAGGAATTCGCGAAGCTCAATTCGGACAACGTTTGAACCCCGAACGGATCTCGCATATTGTACGATTTCCGGGTTCGATACGTTTGAACCGTTGGATCGCAGTCAATTTCTTATATGTTGATCTATGTAATTCCAAGATTGTGTAGGATTCAATGGATTGTGAATCAGAGTCTTGGATACTCCAAAAAGGCCAACCCTACGGCTAGGTTTACAGTAACCGTCCGATCGTGAGTAGTCCGACCGTTCGATCGAGACCAGACTCTCGGGACATATGTCCTAGGCATGTTAGAACATTTAGGAACTCTCGGATCATAATTTTGAGGTTGTGGACCCCAAGGGGTCCCGGGTTGACTTTTTGGGACTTATCACTTTTTGAGTTCCGAGGCACTTCTAGATTGTTCTAATAAGTGGAAAAGCTTACATAGGCTTGAGAATGACCTTCAATTCAATGCACGCACTTCTGGGAGCCCAGGGCCAGGACTTTGGATTAAATAATGAGGATGAGCTCCATAGAATATGTTTAAGCTTTTAGAAAGTTCATGTGCGTGCGAGTGTTCAATTGGTTTATTTATGGTCTTAATTTCTTGATTTTATGTGAATTCGGGATGAGTATTTAATTATTTGTTGATTTATCACATGCTTATATATTCATATGGTTAATGATGTTGTAAGATTATTAATATAATATTTGAACGGTATGTTAATAAGAGATCGATATGGCTAACATACTAGCTAAGTGTTTAATATATGTATATTCAATAGTTGAAAAGGATGAATAATAGCACTTGGCTTTTATCAGATTGTGGCATATAAATGTATATATATTTTAAGTTTAGTTGAGAACAAGTTTATTGAAAGTTGATATAAATGACGGGTGATGGTTTTCAAACTCACCACGAGGGTGCCCCCTAGTTGCTTTGAAACAGTTTGGTTATTTTGATAATGTCCCACGAGTTTCGGGGACACCTGAACCGTGTGGTGCGAGGATTGCAGCTCAGATTGAAGTGTTATCTCTGAAACCTGCGAGGAATGTGGCTCGGATGGACTTGGTATCTCCGGGACCTGCGAGGATTGTGGCTCAGATTGAAGTGTTATCTCTGAGACCTGCAAGGAATGTGGCTCGGTTAACTTCATGTTTCCGAGACCTGCGAGGATGGAATTGATGGTATTAAAGGAATTGACGGATCAGAAATGGGGGTACGCCTAGGTGGAGAGAATTTAAGTTCTGAGATGCTTTTAAACTAAATTGAGGATTTTATACAGCTACCATTATTTTATTAAGTGTTACATTTGATTTACAAGTGACAGATGGAAATATATATATATATATTCTAATCAAGTTATTGAGATATATAAATATAAATATTTATTTATGAACTTTATGTGAGTTTGATAAAAGGGTGTTCGAAGCTTATAAATCTTTAACTTATTTTATTTTATTATGTTTAGTTATCTTTATCTTTTGTTATTCTATATAATATTAAATAGCTTAAGTTTTTCTAGCATATTTTGCCCCACAAGTCTTAGAGTTATTCGAACCGTGGGAGCGAGGATTGCGGATCAGGTTGACCAGACGTCTCCTGAGTCCAGCGAGGATTATATGGCAGGACGTGTCACCAATGGTGTCACGAGGAGATGGATAGTTATGGCTTCCAAAGTGTGATTACCTGAATCTAAATACTTTTATTCATTCATTTAATTATATATTGCCAAGTGAGTAATGCTAGGAAGTTAGGAATAGGAGGCTGGGATGAAATATGAGAACTACGTGTGGCTTGATCCCTCAGTAAGGGTACGTAGGTAGCCTATATATGGTTACAAGGTGCCAATGTATTATTGTTGTTTTGAAAGTTAAGATGAATTTTATTAGCAGATTGATTTATTTGATTTGTTGCGGCTTGAGGCCAGAATAATATGATGCTTGATTTGCTTGGGTATACTTTATACAAGCTGAATGATTAGGATATATAAATGTTTGTTAACATGTGGAAATTTTGAGAAATGTTCAATTTACAAGGGAGACTCTGCCAATAAATTGAATTTTGAATAGAAGGGCAAATAGGTAATTTGTGCTCGGCACTCGCCAGGTGTCGGACACGCATAGGGTTTGGCTCAAATTCCAAAGTGAAATTTGGGGTCGGATCCTGTCAAAAAGACCCCTACAATGATCTATGAATGTAGACTTAAAAAATTGATAATTTATATCTTTGAAAAAACATTCGTAAAGAATCCTTCAATAAAAAGGAATTTATATATATATATATATTCGTTTTTCTGAAACGTAACCAAACGATGAGTCACTTATTAAAAATTAGGAAAAACTACACTTTAGTCCCTGGAGGTTTAGTGTCAGTATCGAAATGGGCTCCAATGTTTCAATTAAATCAATTTCATACCCGAAATTTGAAGGGAGTTTCACTAAAACACCCAAAATGGGGGCTGAAATTATAAAAAAACTCAACACCTAAAACACTTTATAAACACACCCAAAACCCATCATTACACACACTCAAAACCCATTTATAAACACATCCAAAAAATATACAATTGTTGATCTTGGGGTTGATTTTGGGTGTGTTTCTATGTTTAAATAGTGCTTGGGTTTATTTATAAATTTGTAAAATTTGAAAGTATTACCAATTTATACCCGCCATTACATTGACCGTCAAAGTCAGACGTTAAATGCTGACGTGGCAGTCATAGGACCCACCTCATAACTAAACAGCAGTTAGAAAGAGACCAATATGGGACCCACCCACTAAACAATTCAAAAAAAAATTATATAAAATAAAAAAGCATTAAGAAAAAAAATCTACCCAACCCCTTCTCTGTTCCCCATGCCGACCCATCATCAGTCGTCACTCCCTAGCTTTCCTCAGCTCATTCTCAACCTCTTCTGTCTTCCCACTCGTCAACCCCAACTGCACCCAACCAACAACCCACCCAATCGCACCGAAACCACAACCCGACCCACTCTACCCCTGACCATACAACCCTAGCAACAATCCCATCGCAGCAAAATTACACAGAACAAACAAAAATGGAGAACCCCACCTAGAGGCCCAACCCCTACGATACAATATGTAATTCTTAGGCAGGCGTTGACGGTGGCACAAGAGGGAGGTGTTGGCAGTTGGCGATGTTGGCTCATGGATATTATGAGTAGTGGCAACCATCGAAACAACCTCCTCTCTCTCTGCAGACAACAACTAATTTCAAAAAGGAAAGACAAAACAACCAAAACACACAACACACTCCACCATCAAAACAAAACAAAATGGCAGTAACCAAATCCTTTTTCTTTTTCTTTTTTAACTTAAAAAATATCCACCATATATAACCCATTTCCTCCAATATCTCTGCATCTACCCATGGTGGGTCTGCATCTCTCCATCCTCTCCATCCTAGCTCTTTTTGCATCTATCCACGTCTTCCATTTCCTCCACTGCCCTCCAACATTAATGAGTCAGTTCGATACTAGCTGTGGGAGAGGTTGTGGGTTTTTTTTGCCCTGTCCATGGTGGAGATTTGGGTTGAACTTGTTTTTAATGGGAATTATATGGTTATGGAGATGGAGAAAGAGTGTTGGAGATGGAGAGGATGGAAGCCAACGAAGTTGAGAGTTGAAGAGAAGGGGCTGGGGTCTGCAACTTAGGTTTTTTTTTAAAAAAAATTTTAATTTAATTTATTATTTTATATCAAATTAATTTTTTGAATTGGATAGTGGGTGAGTCCCACAATGAATACGTCATCAATTAACGTCTGGCCAAATGGTCAACTTAATGGAAGACTTAAATTTGTCAAATTTGAAAACTATGAAGTGTAAATTAATGAAATTGAAACTCAGATGCCCATATTGAGAATGACCCCAAGCCTCCAGGGAGTATTAAAAAACGTGTAATGCAAAAGTTGTCTTTAAAAATTAACGAAAATGAAAAAGGATAAAATCAGAAGGCATGCATCATGAAGCCTCTGGAACAATAGGGAAAAAGATAGAATCTCCTAGAACGCTCCACATTTCTACTTGCACATATTAAAGTAAATAATTAAGAAAATATATCAAGAAGAAAGAAAGAAAAACAGAAGGAAAGGAAGAAGCTGGAACCTTCCTTGTTTCTCTAAATTGGTCTAAAGAATGTTTTTCATTTGCGAATTTTCAAGAACCATGTCCCGCACCTCCTAAACTTTCTCTCTCTCCCTCTCTATAAGTTTCATCCCATCCCATCCCATGCTAAATAAATACATCGCTAACCAGTCCAAACCCGGATAAGCAGACAGCGGCATTAGAACACGATCACTAGTATTCACCGGCATCGATCTTTCTTCATCATTAAACCAATAACCCACTCCTCCGAACAAACCAAATAAGAGAAATGAGGCAACTCCGCTCTCTTGTTTTAACCTTGAGCTTTCTCCTTGTTTTTCTTTCAGCTGGGTCATCCAATGCGTCCTTGCTGCCATTCGTTGATCGCCGCCCAGAAAGTTTGCTGGTTGATCTCTGGTCGGAGCGCTTTCCAGACCCGTTCCGAGTGCTAGAACAGATCCCATTTGAACTTGACAAAGACGACGGCGTGGCACTCTCTCCAGCAAGGGTGGACTGGAAAGAAACGCCAGAGGGTCATGTTATAATGTTAGATGTGCCAGGATTAAAGAAGGAAGAGCTGAAAATCGAGGTGGAGGCGAACCGAGTTCTGAGAGTGAGTGGAGAGAGGAAGAGGGAAGAAGAGAAGAAAGGGGATCATTGGCACCGAGTTGAGAGGTCTTACGGAAAATTTTGGAGGCAATTTAGGGTGCCAGAGAACGTGGATATGGACTCTGTCAACGCCAAGTTGGAAAATGGGGTTCTCACTTTGACACTGGCCAAGTTATCCCCTGATAAGATCAAAGGTCCTAAGGTGATTAGCATCGCTAGCACTGGAGGACATGAGGACGAACCTACCCAGCTCAAGGCCAGTGAGGTCAAGCAAGAGCTTTAAATAATTCACTGTTTTGCAACTTTGTGGGATGAGTGAGTCCAAAAAACAAAAACGAAAAAAACTTTGTGGGATGAGTAAATGATGATTTCGTATCACTCTGCTTCCTACTTGCTATTATAAAATAAATTTGTAACTGTTTTTTTTTTTTTTTTTTTTTTTTTTTTTTTTTTTTTCCCTCCCTCAGATGTTTTAAGTTAATAAAACTCCCTCGTCCTGTAAATTTGCATGAAAACCACATGCACGGGTCAAACTCACTCAATTATCTTGATCCAATGCATCCACGGTGGGAAATATGCCACAACTTCATATCTCATTATCCTCCTCAATAAAGCGTCCATTTTGGGGGTTTATTTAAGATTCATTTTCATGAAAAAAATAAAAATAGGATTTAAAGTTAAGCGCAATTAAAACATCACTGCTATCCTTCACATGTTTCATACTTGAGCTGCACCGATTTTATTTATTCCAAACTGAACAAATAATATCTGCATTTAAAATGTTCAGCTCCTTGCATGCTAGGAGCCATTCTTCTCCTTGTAAGGAAATTTTGATCGGCTTGTAAGGAAATGGCTAGCTCCGTAATGTGTATATATGCATAAGTAGGAGAATTTTCAAGTCAGAATATGTCCCGCATAGCACTACCCACCAAAATGTAGTTCAAATGGCAATCATGGTAATCAAATAGCTATAGATGATCCTTGAAGGAGAACTCCTAAAAAATAGATGGTTTCAATCACTGGATTGCAGGCTTGATATTTGATGTTCATAGTTATCTTAAATGAGAACGTCCTCCCAAGCTTCCTATATATAGTTATATATACGCCTCACACTGATGCTTATATGGATGTAGCTTGAACCATGTTCTATCTACTTACAAAGTTAATTCTGATCAGTAGTTTATTGTGGTTCCAGGTATGAGTGGAGCTAATGACGCATAGAAGGTTTGGAAACAAACCCTGGTTTGAGTCATGGTCCCCTGGGATGTCGTAGATGCTAGGATTCTCTTCTAAAATAAAATTTGGTTCAGGGTGATGTTAGAAAATAATTGTTCAGATATGTGTGTGTCACATTTTGATAACTGTAAACTACTAGGTTTAACTGAAATGAAGGCTAAGCTTTTCATCCCTTGACTTTGTAGCTTACCTTGTTAGAGTGAAAAAAGAAAAATAATCACTAGCATAAGTTGCAGTATTGTAAGTTTGATTGATGCCCTCCTTACGTGCACGTAAGGGGGCGTTGCATCCAAAATTTCGGAGAAAGAGAATTCAATTCACCCTAGTAAGTAAGTTCTGTTCTGAAGAATCATAGGAAAGAGTGTCAATAGATAGGTCGGTCCCAGACCATCCCCACATTTCTAAAGTTTTCCTCGTTGGATATAATCATATAACATAGGAATCGTCAATTTTATGCCATGATCATACAACACTTCTATGTGAACTTAATGTATGTGTTTTAAGTCAAAAGAGACTAGGAGCAAAATAAAAACAAAAAATACAGATGAATCGAATAAGTCACAACTCAGGAACCCTCATTAAAAAATGGACACAAATATATTAGTAGGGTGAAAGGAGCTTTTGTCAAACCTGTCTAGTGCATCCAAGAATTGTACTTGTCTGCAACATAAAGCCATGCCCTCTTTAGATGCTGTTCCTAGTAAAACAAAAACCCAACTTCAACTCTACCTTAAACCACAATCTTCAGCCAGATCCAAAGGAAGAGAAGGAATATTGATCAAGGTTAAAGGTGGAAAAAGACATCAATGCTTTGGAAAGCAAATTTTTGTCTAGCTCTAGCTAGTTAATCCGATACAAGACCTTAAACTGATGATAAAAACAAGTTCACAGTAATGAAGCTCCATCAAGAAATAAATAAAAGAAAACACAAGTTGGTTTTTATTAAATGTAACAAGGAGAAGGGCAAGCATAAAGTGGTAAAGGGCTAGGGCAAAAGTATAAAACCAACACCAGTTTGTCTCCACGAAGCAAGAAGTCAACAAAAAGTACACACGCTAATTATAAAAAATGCACACAATTGCCTGTATTACGAATGCAATCCGTCAAAATACTAATGACAAAAACAACAGATTGAAACTCTTACCAAAACAACTGCGTTGCTGTTTCTAATTATCACTTGGAAGGCAGAAAGATCACCGGTGATGTGCAGTTGGCCGTTACCGACTCAGCTACAAGAGTCCTTAATACAACTCAGAAAAGGGTGGTCCAGTATACGAGTTTCTCACCAATGCGAGGCTCAGTGAGGCAAAAACATACTCTGTCATAACCTCATTTCCAGAGAAATGGTGGGCTAATGCAGGTGGTCGGTACCTTTTCGGCCAGCAAAAGAAAAGCATTAATATATATATATATATATATATATATTTCCAGACTTGAAGCTCCACACCAAGTCACTCGGAGTAAGTCATATTGTTGCGCTAAGACACCTACACCTTTTATATGTAAATGTGGTTATATAGTAGGTAGGAACCAAATAACCTTGCTTGAACTGTTGAACCAAGTTTGGGATTTTAAGCAGAGTTCATGGATTGGGAAGAAATAAGAGGAGTTTGAGAATTCAAGATCAATTGCAACTTGACTTCAAAATGATAAAACCAACAAGCGTGTCTAGGATTTGGTAGATCTCTTCCGTTCTAGGATGTGATTTGTCAACGGAATAAAATTGGTAAACTTGGTTATCAACCTCAATCCAACTGCAACCAGGGGTTTTATAAGCATTTCGCTCCCTCAACACCTTTCTCACCTTCCGGGCGTCATCCCACTTCCCCAACTGCCCATATATATTGGCCAACATGATACCATAACCACCATTATTAGGATCAATTTGAATTAAATTTTTAACTGCAAATTCTGCAAGATCAGTACGACCATAAATCTTACATCCATTAAGCAGAGAACCCCATACAACCTCATCAGGTTCAATTCTCATGCCCCTCACAATTTCCATGGCTTCCTCAAATCGACCTGCTCGACCAAGAAGGTCTATCAAGCATCCATAGTGTTCTATCTGAGGCTCAATCCCGTGACCCCGAGTCATCAAATCAAAATAAGAAATACCTTGCTCTACCAATCCTCCATGAGTACAAGCATTGAATAAGCCAACAAAAGTGACCTCGTCTGGTCTAACATCTTCCCCACGCCGTATCATTTCTTCAAAAACACCAATTGCATCGTTGCTTTGGCCGTGCAGAGAATAAGAGTTGATCATGGAATTCCAAGATGTCAAGCTTTTTCGTGAGGTCCTGTCGAAAACCATTCTTGCCACTTTTAAGCTCCCACATTTCCCATACATATCCACTAGAGCATTGGAAACAAATGAATCTGGACCAAGCGCATTTTTGTAAATATAGCTGTGGATCCATTTACCAAGCTGCAGCATGCCAGTGTGACTACAAGCTGAAAGTACACAAACAGCTGTAACCTGGTTTGGCCTATTTTCTAGATGTTGCCCCTCATGCGCAAGAACTAACATTCTTTTGAACAGATAAATTGCCTCCGAGAACTGGCCGTTCTGCGTGCACCCAGCAATAACAGCATTCCAAGCAGGGACATCTCTCTCCGGCATTTTCTCAAACAACAAAATAGCACTGCCAATGTCCCCAACTCTAGTGTACCCAGAAATCATAGCCGTCCAGGACACGACATTTTTCTCAGACATTTCATCGAATACCTGTCTTGCTGAGCCAACATCTGAGCGGAACCTCGAGTAGGAATCAACAAGAGCTGTTTGTACAACTGGGTATTGACCAAAACCTGATTTCATAATGTGCGTGTGCACCAATGCAGTCCCATGAGACTCAAAAACCTCTGGACAAGATTTCAAGACGTAGGGGTAGATAAACTGGTTGGGTCGAGCGCTTCCCTGACGAAGCATGGATTGGTACAACAGAAAAGCAGAATGGTGGTGGGATTGGGAGGCATAACCGGTGATCATGGCAGCGAAGAGGTATACATTGGGGGAGCTGAGACAGTCGAAGATGAGGCGACCATAGGGAAGGTTGTCAAGAGTGACAAGGCAGAAGCGGACGAGCTTGAAGGCGTAGAGCTGATTTTGGGTGTATCCTAGGGTGATGATAAAGACTTGCAGTTGCTTTACATGGTTGAGGCTTTTGCATTTTGCAAGCAGTTGGTTTAGATTCACCATCTTCTTCCTTACTTTTGTTACTGAGGTTTTCGTCGTTATCGGTTTCAGTTGATAACCAGATAAAATCTGGGTATCTTTATTTTTTTTCGACACTCCTTGCCTTTTACATTCCCTTTTCTGCGAAGCACTCTTCATAAAAAACAAAAGGGAAAAAATATATATATGCAAACATGTCAAATTATAATTAGTAAAAAAATTAGGCAAATATTTTCCTTTTTTTAAACAACTTTATCTTATTTTCCATGTACCATAATTTTCATCCTATCATAAATGTAAGAGCATGGCATGGCTCCTCACAACAAATGAACGAGCACATCCTTACTACAAATGGAATTTTAACACTTTGTTAAATTTCAACGGAAAAAATAGTTGAAGAAATTCAAAAGAACAAAAATTTAAAGAAATTTGACAAATGTCAAAATTCCATTTGATTTAAAAACCTAAATTTTTTTTCATATTTTATTTTGTCAAATTTTCTACGGACTTTACATTCTTCAACACCGACGACAAAATCTACAAATTCATTTACCCTCCGTTTGGATGAAGGAAAATAACTCGGAATTTAGCTAAAAGTCGGGAATTTAAGAGGAGAAATTGACAATTCCCATGTTTGGCAACTTAAGCGCGGAACTTATTAAATGACGCGTAGAAAAAATCATGGAAATTGAGGCATCAAATTCCCGAGTTTAATTTCCACCAAAATAGACGTCATTTCACAATTTCCATAGTGCGGGAATTCATATTTTTCAGTGTGCCAAAACTTACCACACACAAAACAAAACAAAACAAAAAAAACAAAAACAAAAAAGCCAAACTTTTCATAAAAAAAAGACCTTATTGATTTATTGTTCACACTTGGACCTTCGTTTCTCTTGTTTCGTGTATTTCATGGTTTTTGTTTTGTTTTTTGTGGTAGACAAATTTAATTAGAATGATCATTACTTCTTAAGTTATTTGTTTCTATGAGTACTTGACTATTCTATTACATGTTGTCATGCTTACTGATGTCCAAAGTTGGGATTCTCTACCTAATTTCCTTTCTAATTGTATTTTAAACATACAAAAGTGAACAAGCAGGGGCTGAAGTCATGAATGGATTTGGAGGAAAACATGCCTGCAAAGGAAAGACAAACAAGGAGTTGAACCTGAAGAAGAAGACAAAAACTATTTTCGGTGGAATATAGCTATGGAACATGAATGAGCTGATATACTTCGCCAGAAGCGCAGCTTAGGTCACAAAGGAGATGGTGGATGGTGGATGGAAGGCAGTTGCTTACAATACTACTGCAAATATATTAGCTGCACAATTTAATCTCTAGTTAAGTGCTGATAATATTAGAAATTGTGTTAAGTCCAAAGTCAAAAAAAGAGTATGTTGTTGATGTTTATTGCACGTGGGGAGTGATTTGGTTTGCTATTATTTAAGTTGAGTTATTTAGTTCATCAAACAATATGTTATTTTATACTTCGAGGAATACCTTCTATGTCGGTTATCAGTTTTTTTGTTCTTTCGAAATATTTAATTTCTGTCATTTATAATTTACATGAGTTATCCAAACATTGAAATTTTCAATTTCTGTCATTTACAAAATTCCACATATATAAATCCAAACACTGAAATATTCAATTGCCAGAAATTGAAATGACAGAAATCTAAATTCCGTCATTTTAGAATTCCATGTAATTTGCAATTCCTTCATCCAAACGGAGCATTATGAATACATTGGGATAGAGTAGGAGAATGAAAACTGAATGGAGTGTTTTTGTGTCGATTAAAATGTTATATCCGACCAAACCAAACAAAGAAGTAAAAAGGAAGGGCTATCCGAAAGAAGTAGAGAGCAAACAAGGTAGGATCGCATGCGGCACATGGAGTTAGAGAGGCAATCGTGGGGTGGTATTGGTGCGGCTGAAGATATTGTTGGGCGAAGGAAGGGGATTTGTAGGTGAACACGTCAAGTACATGTCAAGTTTTTATCAATGCGAACGCAGTCAAACCGTCAAAGTTAGCAAATTAGACTCTGGACAGGAAAAAAAAGAGAGAGTGTGTGGATTGTGGATTGTGGATTGATGGATTTGGAAGTTTTTCAGTTTTGGTCAGTTAAATTTCCTCAATATTTTGTTCCTACAAACACTCCCCATCCACTTTATCTTTTCTTTCTGTGTTGCTTTCGTATGCTTCTTTCTTGGACCTTGGCGCTCTCCTCTCCCCCTCTCTCTTTCTATATCCAAAGTTTCCTCTTTTAGTGTTATTGTTCTCCTCCGTTATTTTACATTTTGGTCATGATTATATAATATAGCATTGGAAATCCCAATCCCAATCCCAATCCCAATCCCAATCTCTTTCCTGTCTCTCACAAACTCAGACACAAACTCTCACTCTCTTGTCGATTGATCGAATTGAAATCTCTTGTCCGTTGGTCCTTTGTTTTTGTCTTTTTTAAGTATCAAGTATTTTCTTTTGAAATGTCTGGAATGCTCAGATGGAAGAAGGTGAAGCATATAGCAGAGCTCCAGCAGCGGTTCACTCAGGTATCCCCAATCTCGACGCACTTGAACCACCTTCATGTCACGAGCCATCGCCGAAGAGAGTCTCTGATCGGAGTGCAGGAGCGCTACAAGTGGGACCACGGCGGCTCTGCCTCCGGCGGCGATGTTCGTACCCGCAAAATCAGGGCGGAGGCGAATTGCCCCCGCTGCTCCTTCAACCGCATGGATCTCCTCTTCTCCGATCGGCGCTTACCCAACTTATCTCCTCCAGATGATTCCAGCACCAGCACCAAGACGACCACCAAGACCACCAAGACCAAGGCTGACGACTCTGAATTTCATCAGTATCAGGCCCTCAATCTCTGCCCCAATTGCAAAACCGCCTACTACTTCCGACCCCACCAGATTGCTCCCCTCCAGGGCACCTTCGTAGAGATTGGGAGACTCACCAACACCACCACCACCTCTTCCAATCGTAACGCCACCAGAACCAACTTCGACAACAAGTCCCATTCCAGAAATACCCAAAATACTAATAATAGTAATGGAGGACGAGGAGGAGGTGGTGGTGGTGGTGGTGGTGGAGATTCGATGCCTAATATTAACAGTAATGGGCTGAGGGTGTCTTTCTGGGACACTTTGAGGTCATATGCGAATGGGGCGGACCCACCAGACAACTGGCCTCCGCCTTCTCCTCCTCCTCCTCCAGGCAATGGGCTGGCGGTGCATACTCCTCCGGGCCCTCCTTTTGCCCCGGGAGTCAATGTCATTCGTGCTTCTGGGCCCCCTGGAGATGCTGGGGGAGACAACAACAATGCCTGGGGCGGTTCCAATTTGGGAAAAGATTTGCCCACGCCCAAGGAGATCTGCAAGGGTCTTGACAAGTTCGTTATTGGCCAACAAAGAGCCAAAAAGGTTCCCTATCTCTTTTTTCCTCTGCATTTTCGTTCAATGCTTTATTCCATGGCCCTTTGAAACTTATTCTGTGGATGATTTTTGCATATCTGTTGGGCAGGTGCTTTCTGTAGCTGTTTATAACCACTACAAAAGAATATATCATGCCTCCTTGCAGAAAGGGTTGGTTTTCAGCCGACTTTCATTTTTATTTTCAGTTTATTGTCTGACCTCTCATTCTAACTGAACTAAAATTCATGCTCCTAGCTCTTTACTCAGACTTTTTTCCCCTCTGAGTCATAATAATACTTTTGTAAGCTGTCAGAGGAGGTGGTCCTTTATGTTCTATCGTTTCTGAGTATCTATTTAATAGAACTGAGCCAGTGGAGTTGTATACTAGGTCAGGAGGAGAATCAGGAATTCCAAACACAATAGATGACGACGATAAAGTGGAGCTAGAAAAGAGCAATGTGCTCTTGATGGGCCCAACTGGCTCTGGTATGATTTCTTCTGACGCACATGGAGAAAAACTGGTGCTCTCCAATTCTTTATGTTCTTAGAGTAATACTAATCATCTAAATTGATACCGGGCTATCTGGAAGTTGAAGTAAGAAGAAACTTAAGATGTTAACCTGCCCTTCTAACTGTAGTATTGTAATGTAAAACAGGGAAGACGTTGCTTGCAAAAACACTAGCTCGTTTTGTGAATGTGCCATTTGTGATTGCTGATGCAACAACTTTAACACAAGTAAGTTTGTTTTTTAGTTACTTATCTACAACTATTATGAACTCTAAATACTCGAGCATAAAGATTGAATACAATATCTGTCATTTGGGCCAAGGTTAGTTTTGGCATGCTTGGTATCTTTTACTAACTGCAAACTGATTGCAATTGAATTTTGAGAGTCGGCATGTAGTATTGAAATTTACTTTCTCCAGCTTTAATTTAATCATTTACATCCAGCATTCTTTAGGCTGGATATATCTTTATCTATTACTGGGGAACTGAGAGGCAAATACTGCTATTTTGCAGGCTGGTTATGTTGGAGAGGATGTTGAATCAATATTGTATAAACTACTGATGGTATGGTATGCCATATTTGCATTTATCTGACTTACAGTTCAAGTGACATTCAAATTGTTGCTTATTATCCTTACAGTAATATGTCTATCTTTTCCCATCTTTCTGGGGGGAATGTGCATGCATTCTGTGTTTTCTCAACACTTAATCATCTTTGAAATGATATCACTTCTCTTCTTTAGTTGTGATGTGAGAGTGCATGGGTATAGCCTTTTTCCCCCCTTTCCTCCCAACCTTCGCTTGTTAATTGTGTATGGTTGTTCATATGTACTGATGAGAAAGGACAATCCTGAGGACAATGTCTATGACTTCGTAGTTATTTCCATCAAATGAATATGTCACATCAAATTTGTATGGGCAATAAAACCTATAAGAGCTTGACAATAATAAGTTCTGGCTTGGATCCTTTATCCACATGACCATGTACTGTTCTGATTTGATTTGGGTGGTCCAGTTATAGTGAATCTCTAAATAGCAATGCAAATTTCTGCTGCGTCAACAACATCTTAGTCATTGACACAACTTCTGCTAGTTT